CTGTTCTGTTTGTTTTGTAATAGTTAATTTATCTATTTTGTTTATCTTGCCCTTGCCAGCAAATTGAATTTCACTTGTTGAAATTAAATTTCGATGGAAGAGAAATACAATAATTTTAGAAATTAGCAACGGAGTTTCAGCCAACTAAAAGTCGATCGATCAAAATCCTATTGATCAGAAGTTCCTTGTTCCCAGCCTTTTCTCGTTTCATTTTGATCCTGGAGTAGGTCTGGGGTATCGTCTGAAAACATGACAATTTCTCCGGTCCTTTGGCGGCTCAAGGACGTATAAAAAGGAAAAAGAAACAAAAAAGGAACATTTAAATAATTTTTATTTCTTACGTTTATGGCGAATTTTTACAGTAGAATTCCTTGTATGTGTTTGTAACTGTGGATTTCAGTTTTGGCGACATGGTGTTCTGTATAGTCAAGAAAGAATAATTATTCTATCTCGTTAAAGTTAATTGTTACTTACTTACTGCGAATGTATTTGCATCACTGACCGGAACGAACTATAACTAGCGCAGAGCTTTAGTGTTAAAGATAAACAGAATGACATTATGTCAGTTGATACTAGTGCTTGCTTTGAAGCTCTAGTCCTGTCGTTAAATTAGCCTCCGCCTCAGAAAAACGCGAAAACTAGCGGCGGGCAGTTAATATTGACTAAGTTTATTCCGTGCAATAAAAGCGCTATTATCTTCGGTAAGAACATTTGCGAAATAAATTTACTCATTGGCAGTAAAAGTAAGGTCCTTCTACGTCAAATGACCGATTAATTATGGAGGTTTTGACTGTAAGTTTCATTGCCATGGAATTTACCCTTAAGTGCAATGTTTGGCATATCCTGTCAGTTGTATACGAAATAAGAATTTCCCGAATTGGTTTTATTCAGCGCGTGGGTTATTAGCTTTGCGCTGCGAGGAATCACCAGCCTCGAACATAAGCTAGATATATAAAAGGTTGATAGAGAACGAAACTTTAAGGTGTTCCAGCGAGAGGTAAGCAGAACAGGGGGAGAAAACCGACTCCCTTGGACGTTCTTGTCTTGGTTATTCATACACAATTTAATATAGCCCAAAGTGAACTACACTGTATTATAAAAGTGAAAGTTTATGAAACACTTGCATTCTAAATGGCTAAGGGCTACATTTTTCTATAGCTTCACAAGTGTTTTTAATTTGGGATATTTCGCGTTTAAAATGGCCATTTGACCTTAGGCGTTATGTGGTCAGTGCTGCTCTCAACTTTAATATGGGCCTTTACAAGTTAAAAGCAAACCGCCTTAGGTCGTTTTGTATTCAGCTGTGTATTATCATTTAATTCACCTCAAATTGCACATTTTGCCTTGCAAGGTCATAAGGGAAAATTATGTTATAATTGATAGAGTAAAAACAACTAAAAGCTGCCCACCGCAATATTTTGACAGCGTTGAAATGTTTACAAGTTGACATTTGCTTTTTCACGGTCTGTAAATCCTAAGCAGGGCTTCCCTACCGAAATGGCGAAGCAGTATTTTCCTTTTAATATTTTAATTTTATTATTTTAGTATTAGTTTGTCTGGGTTTGCAAAAAAAAATAAATAAAAGAAACTGTGCCCTTCGTTAAGCATTCCTTACCGAGAGGCAGTAGTTTCTTTGAAACTGTTTACTCTTCAGCGACTCTTTGTGGTTGGCCAACGTATACTCATGATACCTGATAGTTAACTATTTAAAGAAGGATTTCGGTGGTACTGTTTTTTCAAGTTATGCTGTGCAAGGAATTTCTAAATTCTCGGTAGTGGAAAAACGGGAGCTCTTGGATGTGTTGAATCCATTTTTTGATCTAAGTAAAACTGTCAAAAAAGACTCGGGAACTTGGTTAGTGTGCTCATTATATTCACAAAATTACAGTAATGTTCCCACCTCCACTCTGGCGTTTAATTAAAACTCCTATTTGCTTTCTAACGCATACAGACTTCAAATTTTCTCAAAACAGTCATTTACCAAATGGCAATTGGAGATGATAAATCACCAAGGTCATTCGTTAACTAAAACAGTCGGGCAGAAAAGCACCTTTTCATCCAACTTCAGCGTGAAATTCTGATTATAAAATTTTACTCAATCCTTATACTTCCTGGGTGAATATAATGGTAAAGTTACGTGAGGTGATGTTTGAACACTCAAATAAAACTTCTTTGCCAGTACTTTCACACGATGCTATTTTTTTCAGTATTTTATTAAATAGCATTTGAAATTTCTGTCAAGTTTTATACTTGATCCAAATTTGGAAGTAAAAGTGCTTAAGGGAATTTTTCGATTTTGGTCGTCGTGTTGGCAACATTTCCTTCATATTCACAGTACCTCTTCGGCGATGCCAAATATCCGACCTTTGTAATGCAAAGTGGAAATCGTTATTTTCAGTGCGATTCCGAATAATTTTTTCATGAATGATTTCAGTTCTCAAAGGAAAAGAAAGACATTAACTATTGGCATTCGCACTCTCTTTTTTTATCTTTGCACTCTTAAAACCAGTCAGATATCCGCAAACGTATTCTCCACTTCGTTTCTCACACGTTTTCTATAGTACTGGTGATGAGAATTTAATGTTTAGCGTTCATAGCCTTTTTTACTTGTTGATCATTTCGCGTCTTCTCACGACCTTTATCTTCATATTGGTCTCTCTCAGGAGTTAATGTAATTAATCTAATCGTTTTTCCCGCTGATCCGGCAAATACCGAAAACTTCTCAGACACTACCCTGCTGAAAAAATTTTCCTTTAGTTAAGGCTAGACTGCTCCCACCCCTCCCCCTCCCCCGGCGACGGCTACGAAAACGTCACTTATAAAGTCCATCTCGTTCAATTCGTCAAAGGCTGGCAAATTTTTTGGAGTTCAATTCTAAAGGACTATTTCATAGTTTAGGGAAAAAAAGAAAGTTGTTGTCTTGTGTTCCCGTCCTCGACGAAACGTGAAATTAGGCACTTTAACGTTGTAGTCGTGCAACGACGACTAAGAAATGTACAAAGAAAGCGTGATGCACGTGCAGAGTTGTTGTTTTGCTAATCTAAACCTATTCTTTTTTGCTGTTCTCGTTGCCGTTGTCGTCGTCGTTGCTGAAGCTCTCCATTGTTCCTCTGCGAGTTAAGTCTCGTTCGATCTTGCGGACTGTTGGCAGTCCCCTATTTTTCCGTAAGATCGTCTAGATCGAGCGCTTACTATACCGTCATTGGCAGCCATTTTGTCATTAGATTTAAATTAAATGTACCGAAGGGTTCACAGCGGTGGGGGAAATTTCTATTTTTCTCGCGTCCTCTCAAACCGTTTCCCGCCCCTAAGTAGATTAGGTATCTTCTTCGATCAAGCTAGACTCGGTCAAGATGGCCGCCGCCTGTAGCGCTCGTTCTCGGTGATCTTATCAAAATAGGGGAATCTGAACAGTTTATCGCTCTTCTTATCCTCTTTTCCGACTTATCTAGGAAAGATCAAAGCGACTCTGCCAGCAGGGTAGGTTCTCGGGTAATTTGGCCTGAAAATTTAATGTACCTTTGAACTGGTCGCCAACAAATTTTGATAGCGATTTTGATTCATTTTTCAGGTTGAATGCAAGCCATACAGTACCATGTTTTGGGTACGGTTACGGTTCCTTTTGCGCTTTTTTGTCGCTTTTGTGCTTCTAATCGGAGTTCTATCCATATTCATGGTTTTTAAAAGCCAAATTGTAATTCCTAATGCCCTGGTTCATGAACTGATGAAGGATGCCAAATACCAGCAGCCATGTCCCTGTACAAATCCGATCATTTCCACCGACCGTATACGAACTGTTGCCGAACATGTCAGACGAATCGCCGAAGACACTGGGAAGGAACCGTTACCAGAAATAAACACGGAACGCTACTCGACCAGGAAAACAGACAAAAGGCGAAGCTTGGTTATTTTCGGAGATGATCGCTCGGGTACAACTTTTCTGACGCGCCTTTTTAGCGAAGACCCACAAATATTTTCTGTGTATGAACCGCTCTGGATCACACGAGACTGGACGAGAGATGAAAAGGGTAGGAACTTGACAGCGGATGTTAACAATGTTATAAGCGCAATCATGAGTTGCCATTTCGCTAGCAATCCAACCGCGCTAAAATTCCTGGAGAAAACCGCGAAAAAGTGGGCTCCTGGATTGTTCAAGAATCCTTTTCAATCTTTTCCAATATGTAGCAAGAGTGCTAAAGGAAAGATGTCTTGTCCCAACCCATCAACAGTGCCGAAACTTGTTGAACAAACTTGTTCTGATTATTACAAACACAGTGTCACGAAGGTTGCCATTGTACGCGTCCCTGACCGAAAGCTGTCCAGCATTTTCCCCAAAATAATTCATGATAATCCTGACACTGAAATCAAGGTCTTGCACGTTGTTCGCGATCCACGCGGAAGCATCAACTCTCGCATTAATCTCCAGTGGATTGGCGACCACCAGAACGAAAATTTCTTCTTCATACCGCGTTCAACGTGCGAGGGCATCACGCAGAACGTGAAGTTCGGTAAAAGCCTCCAAGGTAGCTTAAAAGAACACTACAAGCTCTTGCGATACCAAGATATCGCTTCATTTCCGGTGAAAACTGCTCAGGAGATTTACAAATTTGCTGGGTTTGAAATGCCGGAAAATTTAATTCGATGGATTGTTCAAGCTACAAATCCGAGCAAGGAAGCTCTGGAACAGGAATCCAAAAAGGCTTTCTCTTCCGTGCGAAATGCCACAGCAAATGTCGAAAAATGGAGGAAAGAATCCCCGATAGAACGAATTCGCATTATCGAGAAAGAATGTAGTGAACTGTTCGATTTACTTGGATTAGAGAGACTAACTTAGGTTAATATTAAACGCGAGGCGTGCCGGGCGTGTAGCCCGCGCTAAGTGTGCGACTATTTTCGCGAGGATTAGTGGGCGCGCCACTCGTGCTCAGCTGTCGCGGTGGCGATGAATGAACTAAAGTGAAAATAAATGGGACAAAAACATGGTTAGGGCGTGACAAAAACAAGAGATCACCTGAGCATTCTTCTGGACCCATTTTCAGATCGCGTGTGTAACCAAGCACTTATTGGCCTTGGTCCTGTACGAAGTTAGGATTTCAGTTGTTAGTTGATGTGACTGCGCAGGGTAGAAGTTAGGACCTTCGAGCCAATGACACCAAAATAAAAAGGTGTGATCAATGTAGCAGAATAGACAACATTCTTGAGTTTAAAATCAGACTTTGCAATAATTTTTTTCTCTTTTCAAATTTATCAACGCGTATTTGTGCGCCATGACCATGCGCCATAAACTGCAGATCATGAACTTTTTTTCTCAGATATTGCCTTCTTCAAGGAGACTAAACTGCGCGCGCAGCCGCGCACGCGCTTTCATACTCGTTTCCATCAAGCTCGTTCACGCAATACACGCCCCTGTGCCAACCCTTTTATAACCACTCCTGTGTCTACCCTGGAAAAGGTACCACTTTTGGGCGGGGTGTCGGTCCTCGAGTCATCTATCATAAGAAATACTCCGTAGGCTTCTTAGATAATGCCAAAGGTGAGGATCTTTGTTGGGGGGTCAACTTCTGTCGATCTGGGTTCAACTGGATTATTACAACAACCGGTTTGTAAAGATTCAGAGCTAAGATTGTTAGTGAGGGAATAAGCAGGCAAAGGAGTATTTGAAGTGCTAGAAATTGGAGGCAAAGTTACAGGATATTTCCGACTGGATTGATCTAGAGATTGAGATAGGCGAGAAAATCAAGCCGACCTGTGAGCGAGCTAAGACAATATACAAAATTACTAAACATCATAATAATTTCACCTCTCNTTCTTCAAGGAGACTAAACTGCGCGCGCAGCCGCGCACGCGCTTTCATACTCGTTTCCATCAAGCTCGTTCACGCAATACACGCCCCTGTGCCAACCCTTTTATAACCACTCCTGTGTCTACCCTGGAAAAGGTACCACTTTTGGGCGGGGTGTCGGTCCTCGAGTCATCTATCATAAGAAATACTCCGTAGGCTTCTTAGATAATGCCAAAGGTGAGGATCTTTGTTTGGGGGTCAACTTCTGTCGATCTGGGTTCAACTGGATTATTACAACAACCGGTTTGTAAAGATTCAGAGCTAAGATTGTTAGTGAGGGAATAAGCAGGCAAAGGAGTATTTGAAGTGCTAGAAATTGGAGGCAAAGTTACAGGATATTTCCGACTGGATTGATCTAGAGATTGAGATAGGCGAGAAAATCAAGCCGACCTGTGAGCGAGCTAAGACAATATACAAAATTACTAAACATCATAATAATTTCACCTCTCTCGCTACGTTGCAGCCCACTCTTATTTAGGCCATTATTAAAACTGTTATTGATTATATCTGGATTTGCTAAAAACATCATGTTTACCTGCGTAAACAGTAGTCTCCCTCGCCGCCGTTTTTTGGATGTCACGCACCCCTCCCTCTTTCGCAGCCGTTTTTTGGATGTCACGCAACGCTCCGCCTTTTCGGGTTGAGGGAGACTACGCCAGAGGTATTTAGAGGCAATGTAACGAGGATATATGTCGCTGACAGGGTTGCATTGTAGATCAATTCGGTGCTAAAGACATAAATGATGCTGTCTTTACCCATACACAAAATAGTTCTGTAGATTGATGTGAACATGTCAAACAGATTTCAACCGGGGGAAATAACCATAATAATTTTTTGGCGAATTTGGCAGGTATAGCATTGAAACGTGAAAGAGTTGGCCCAATATTTGGAGCTCTTCTGTAATACAATTTGTTGAGTCCCAAGCTCACCCTCCCTCCCCCTTGCTCGTCTCTTTTTTGTCCTACCTTCACCCCCACCCCTTCCATGGACGTTTGATCTCCTGGCAAAACGTATAAGTTGGGCAGAAGAAAAACAGACAAATAATAATAACAAGTAAGGACTCGATCGAAGCAAGGGATTTTTCGGAGCAAAATATTGCGACGTTTATTTCAAAGTCTTGCTCTGTTGAGTGAAAAAAGTGAAAAGGTATAAAAAGGTGAAAAGGTGAAAGAAGTGAAGAGGTAAAAAATCGATTTAGATCGGTCATGTTAGGAACGATCATCTGACCGATAAACTGAATTGTAGGGCTGAGAGAGCGGCACTGCCTTGTTGCAGAGCCCCCTTATTAGGAGGGTTATCATTAGATCCCATCGACCGTAACCCCTTCGGACACCTCATGACATTTACAAACGTAGTCTTCCCCTTTACTAATTAGGATTAAGCACTGCCTTTTATTGATTAGGGTTAAGCACTGCCTTTTACTGATTAGGGTTAAGCACTGCCTTTACTGATTAGGGTTAAGCACTGTTTCGAAACTGGTTAGGTTTTTTGGGGGTTTGGGGATGATGCTATACGTCCTTAAATTATTTCCCTCCCATCCAGTAGTGGTTAGTATGGTATACTAAGTCCTCTGGGTCGTGGGTTCTAATCCTACTGCCCTTCATATCAAAATTTTTTTTCTTTCAAATTGAAGAGACTTGCACTTTCATGAACAATTCCAGCTTGAAATATCATCTAAGTGTCATATAAACTGCAGAAAACAGTTCTATCTTGTGTAAATTTCATAAAGGGAGAAAGGGGCTACGGTCGATGGGATCTAATGCTGACCTATTAGGAGGGGGCCCTAAAACCCCTTGAGTTTGCGCCAGCCACGCCCCTGTCACAGTACTCACTATTGTATTCGAGCTTCTCTTCGTCGCTGTTCCAGTTTTAGCTCAGGCGGCCCAAGCTCGATTTGAGAGTACGAGCTGTTGCGTCATTTTCAATAAAATACACTTTACCTTTTACGTGAATTCCCATGCAAATCCTTTATAATGACGGCCATTTTGAAAATTACGCAACGCACGTACTCTCATATTAAGCTTGGGTGGCCTGTGGTCTTAGCCAATTCTTGTGCCGCGTTTTTCGCCATTTCAGCTGCCTTATGTGTCTCACGTTGGTGCTTCAAGGCTTTGTCTCTTGGCTGTCCGATCCACATTACAGCCGAGCGTGGTCTTCATAGCTGCTCTTTCGCAAATCTACTGGCAAATAGACGTGTACAGTCGGCGCTAGACGGTGCCTGCGGCTATTCGTCCATATCCGAGAATACTGCTTTTAGCCAGTTGTAGATAGGCAGCAAATTCTCCTCCGTGTTATTTTAAGACCGGGGGTACTCCCTTATATGACCTATACGGGGATGTGCCGCTGGACAGGGTATGGTTTTCTTCCTCTCTGTCCTAAACAGGGTATATAATTTCGCACGAGTCTGTCCTAAACAGGGTATACAATTTTGCGCAAGTCTGTCCTAAACAGAGTGCATGATTTGTGCGAATCTGTTCTAATTATAAGCAGGGCGTTGGGCCATAAACAGGGTACTAAAATTGACCGTGTTGTCCTAAACAGGGTATGTATTTTAGAAATTTTTTGTCCTAAACAGGGTCAATGATTCAAACCCTCAGCAGCTCACCGATACCACAAAGGCCCCCCACCCCCGGGCTTGTAACTCAATGTTTCATCCCTGAGTACGTGGGCACCAGGCCTATTTATTTGCCTGTGTTTCAAATTAAGCTACTGGTGGCTCTATAGATTATTAACATCGCTCTGAGTAACAGAAAACGAAACATAAAAAAAGAAAAGAAAATGGAGAGAGGAATGAAAAAAAGCGAACAGAAATCGCACGCAGACTGGAAACTAACGCAGGCCAGGATACAAATTCAGGGCGGAAAAACGTTCTGCGCAAGCTTCTGCGCATCCCTTATCGCAGGCTCAAGGCGGGCTTTTCTGTGCGTTGACTGTGTTTGTTTGTTGCTGGAGTTCTGAGTGAAGCGCACGAGGTGCGAACGTTTGCTCGCTGACGTGTTTGCTTTTTTTTCGTCGCTTGAAAATTACTTTTGGATTCCCAACAACCAATGTTAAAGGTAAAACGGATCATTCCGTCAGTCTGAGGTGGAATAAAAGGTTTTGAACATTTTTAAAGAGGCGAGTATGTTTTCTGATTGTGCATCCGATTAATTTATGAGTTGATTTCGCCGGGTTGACTTAAAACCCGCTTGTATTCTGTTATTAGTAGTTACGATTATTTTTTTACATCCCCAGATTTATTACCTTTGCAGAACCAGCTTTAACTTTGTCTTTAGTCAAAGAACCATATTGCTGTTATAACGCATCAAAGTGAACAAACTTGTGCGCTTATTAAACTTTCTCGGAAATAGAAGGCCAGCAAGCTTACTCAAGATCATTTTTCTGTTGCTCAAGTAATAATAGTCAGAGTTTTTTTCATTTTTCATTACATAGTTTTGTTTTCCAGTGCACAGTGAAAGTTTCTGTTCTTCATAAGAATAACTTTCTGTGCGCAAATTGTCCTTTTCACTCGCTGTGAAGTAGAGAACGACAACTGCCGGCAGTGAGTTCAAAACAATTGACTCTTTTCCCGTAAACAATTGCTGCAGCTTGATTTGACTGAGGCGAGAAAGACAAACCCTTATGTGCAGNTTTTATCCTTATTTGTGTCGGTAAGTTGCCATTCTCTTTGGTGGGAAAGTTTGCTTCATAATTCAATATGGCGTCGTTTTTTTTTTTATTATGAGTGTGTTTTAAAATAATTGTAGGGTTGTATTACAATCTCTCTGGTCTTGGAACAAGATTTGACATAGGATGGTACGTATTTTGTTCATTTACATTTCATATTTATTTTTCTTCTGGTAAACTTTGATCTCCTACTTAAAAAATATTCGATCACAGAATAAACAATTAAGCATAAACTTTAATTACCATTGTGCTTGTTATTTTAAAGTTATTTATGTAATATTTTTTAAAAACTGAAAATCAGTTTAAGCATTTATACATATATATTGGAATTTCCAAGCATGTCTCATTTTTCTTCTGAGTTTGTTTAAATGATAAAATTGAGGATTGATCACATTAGCCTGAGGAAACAATGAAAAATTAAGGATGCTGTGTTTCCATCTTTCAGGTTTTTGGAGAAGACCTCCCCATTTATGTGGGGTTCTCTTGGAATAGGATTAGCTATAGCACTGTCTGTTGTTGGAGCGGCGTGGTGGGTTCAATAATGATGTTCTTGATTATTGTCAGTGCTTTTCAATAACACACGAACACTGAAATTTAAAATTAACCTTGCTGATTGCATTTTTTTGCTGCCGTCAATCAAACCTTCAAACAAAGAAACACACAAAATGGGTCAAAATCCACCAATCACATATCACAAACCATGACATTTGAATTCATTGAAGTAAACCTCTGTTTCCTAAGAGGTCCGCTAAGATGATTGATGGTATCGAAAAACGCAAACATTAGTTGGCTTTTGAACTTCAGAATTCACATTTTGTTTTTTTTTTTTAAATTGTGGTAATGCAGTTTTTCCCACCACTTTTCACTATTACCAGTAATTATTAATGCACTGTCATTTTCCCAAATACACTGCAAACAAATCATACATGTATGTGCATGTTACAGATCAAAATTAAATTCACGTTAAAATTTTAGGTTGATTCTCAGTTTCCTTTGTCTCCTAACCCTAATTATCCATGAATGAGGATTGGGAAATTAAACGAGACCTACCTGTAAGTTGAAGTTTGATTGACATTCTATCACATGACAACAGAAGGCGAGAGATCTCCGCCTTCTGGTCATGTGATAGAATGGGGGGCCACCCGGCACTGCTAGAGCACACCCTTGCATCATCAATAATAATTCCTAGTTTGGATGCTCTACATATGGAGAGAGATCATTTTCAGGTATTAAATTAGACTAGTACTGGATGAATTAATAATTATCATTGATAATAATTATTAGTAATAATTAATAATTGATAATAATTATTGATAATTTGTTTCTCCTCTCTAGGGGAATATTCATCACAGGATCCAGTATTTGTGGAGGTGGTGTGAAAGCACCAAGAATTAAAACCAAAAATCTAATCAGGTAACTTGAATGTGATATGAATAATGTTACAGTTTGTGTCACAAGAATTACGTAAGATATTAATTTATGTGTGCATTTACTGCAAAATGTTCATGTTTATTCACATTGCATTTTACTAGATGGTTATTTAGAATTTGTGAATAAAAATGTAAATGCCATAGCCATGCAAAACTAGTAGCTGTTTATCCCTTGAAATGATTACAGTGGATCTAATTTCTTCTTTGCTTTTTCAAATTTGCAGTATAATCTTTTGTGAAGCTGTTGCCATTTACGGCATTATCATGTCTATTGTTCTCAGTAACTACATGTCGGTAAGCTTATGAAAAATCACCTTTAGAAGTACTTTTTATTTGAATTGAAAGAAAGGAGGAATCTAATGCAAAAATAAGCCTCGCTTGGTGTCTGTTCTGTCATCTACATGTATTGAGTAGAACCTCCATATAACAAGGTCCTTGGTATAATGAATGATTCTCTTTACTCCAGTAGCTGTAAAATACATGGAAAAGAAGCTTGATGTTACAAAACCTTGTTATAGTGAACAAATTTTGCCTTTCCCTCGTCCCTTTGTTGTATCGAGGTTCCGTTGTACCTCTCCCACTGCAAGCATTACATTTTTTACAATGTACATAAAATGTTATCATTAATTTTTATTTTAATCTTGATACAAAAGCAACTGACAGCACAAGTATACTGAATATTTAATTGCTCTTTTTTTACATCAAAGAGTTCCTCACTGACATGTATTAATTTGATTATATATATCAATGTCAAAATGGTTGTGTACTTGATTTGCCATTCTTTGTTTGGTAATATAAATATTTAATTTATTCATTTGCTTATCACAGAATGTTGATGTGGATTCACTTACAGAAATGAAGGAGATTAGACAGGTCCATAGTTCAGGTAAAATAAGATCTATTTTAGTCACCACTGAAGCTTTATAGAATTAAAAATAGCTTGCCTTCAACTGTGAAAAAGTTTGAAGTGTCTAGTATGTATTAACTGCATTTCTCCAAACCATAAAATGTTCAGGAAAAAATTGAACAGGGTTTGCAAATTTTATTCGTGAGTGGAGTCAGTGTGACTTCTGCTTCACAAATTTTTGAGTCATTATCGAATATTTGGAGTCAAGTATCACAACGCAAAAAGCCATTTTCAGACTTTCCAGCACGTGGTCCTGGCACGTATACACTATCGTGAGGGATACACGAAGTAGCTGTGGCGGTCCGCTGACCTGGAAAGCTCAAATCCATGACGGCAGTCATCGAGTAAACTTTGAACGTAATTTACCCTCTTCCTGTTTTGTTGTGTCGTATAATTCTTTAATTTAGATGATTTAATTAAGGTTTACAACGTTTACAATTAACGTAAATTGTGTTTGTTGCGAAAAAGCTAAGGACAAAACTGTGTTTGTTACCGGAAATTTCTGGAGTCGAAGTGGCTCCCTGTTTGTTACCAAAAATTTCTGGAGTCGAAGTGACTCTCTCTGTAACCTCAGTGGAGTAAACTGAACAATGTTGGCGTAAAATATGCCAAATTTGGTGTATTTTCGAACCCTCAGTGAATGAAGTTAACAGGTGAATATTTGTTTTGCTACACTAAACTTCTCATTATTTAATTGTCCGCCAAACTGTCTGTGATTCCTCATTTGTCCCTCTCTTGATGAGAATACCGGTAATAACGTTATTACTTTTTTAGGGTATAGTGTTCAGCCTGTATCAAAAAAGCAGTTTGTTTATTTTGTATTAAGCATTGTCATTTAAATGGCAAAAAAATAAATAATTCAGAAATGCTCTAGGTTCTTCTCAAGTCCAAAAAAATCTCCATTAGTGTTAACATAACCTCTTTTATTATAGTGTCTTTATGTTGCAGTCACATGTAATATTATATTAAAATAATTATCTATTAAGCAGACACCTGCAGGAACCTCACTAGTATCTGCTAAAAAATTGTGTTTCCCCAACTTTGGAAGTTTCTAAACATTCAGGTCCACTTTTTTACAATCACTGACCTTCAAGAATACAACTATAATGTACAATACATTATTGGACAATATATTTTGTGTTCCACTGAGAAAATAAGAAAGCCTTGGTTTCCTCTACTGTGCTTTTCAAAAACACACGCACTCTGGAGTTCAAAAGCCACCTTCACAAAATTATGCATTTTTTGTTGTCGTCAATCATAATTACGATGACAAGCAACAAACCTTGAAACAGAGAAACAAACAAAACGGTTCGAAATCCGCAATTCACAAACCATGACCTTTTGAGCCTGTTGAAGTAAACTCTTGTTTCCTAAGAGGTCCACTCAGATGATTGGCGGCAGCGAAAAATGTAAATGTTAGTTGGCTTTTGAACTTAAGAATTCATGTGTTTTTGAAAAGTGCAGTAATATCAAANTGTATTAAGCATTGTCATTTAAATGGCAAAAAAATAAATAATTCAGAAATGCTCTAGGTTCTTCTCAAGTCCAAAAAAATCTCCATTAGTGTTAACATAACCTCTTTTATTATAGTGTCTTTATGTTGCAGCCACATGTAATATTATATTAAAATAATTATCTATTAAGCAGACACCTGCAGGAACCTCACTAGTATCTGCTAAAAAATTGTGTTTCCCCAACTTTGGTAGTTTCTAAACATTCAGGTCCACTTTTTTACAATCACTGACCTTCAAGAATACAACTATAATGTACAATACATCATTGGACAATATATTTTGTGTTCCACTGAGAAAATAAGAAAGCCTTGGTTTCCTCTACTGTGCTTTTCAAAAACACATGCACTCTGGAGTTCAAAAGCCACCTTCACAAAATTATGCATTTTTTGTTGTCGTCAATCATAATTACGATGACAAGCAACAAACCTTGAAACAGAGAAACAAACAAAACGGTTCGAAATCTGCAATTCACAAACCATGACCTTTTGAGCCTGTTGAAGTAAACTCTTGTTTCCTAAGAGGTCCACTCAGATGATTGGCGGCAGCGAAAAATGTAAATGTCAGTTGGCTTTTGAACTTAAGAATTCATGTGTTTTTGAAAAGTGCAGTAATATCAAAATGGTTCACCCTTGACTTGGGTGCTTCAATTCACTTGGACAATAGATAGTAGATTCACCAAAGGCAATTATCTTTTTCCTGGTTGTGTTACTTTGGTGCGGCTCAATATATGTAGTTCAATAGTCTATCTATTTTTTTCCAACTAAATGTAACAGTAGTATTATTTTTCACATTAGAAGTGTTACTTTTAGCTTAAAATAACTGATGCTAGGCAATGTATACTTTACCTCATTAGGATTTATGTTGTTTGGAGCTGGTTTGACAGTTGGATTTTCCAATCTCTTCTGTGGAGTTTGTGTTGGAATTGTTGGAAGGTACAGTGAAACGCCATTAATGCGACCACTGTTAGGCCATAAAATCATGGTCATAATAACAAGATGGTCATACTAAAGGGATCTTCCAGGACTGTCACTAAGATTTCAAGTTGCCGGGTAAATACAAAGTAGGTGGGGAAGCAAACAGTTAGGGATTTCTTGTGGTTTCATTTTTATTCTATTTTCCTATGAAAGTAGCCGGGGAACACATGCACAGTAGCCGGGGAAATCCCTGCCCCCCCGGCTCTTAATGACGGCCCTGATCTTCAAATAAAATGACCAGTATTTCTCTTGTGGGTCAAAAAATTGTGATCATGATAACGAGGTGGTCGTATTAACAGGGTGGTCGTAAGGCGGGATTCCACTGTCTTACAGTGTCTTGATTATGCTGTGCTCAGAATGTAAACAAGCTGTATTGTTTAATAGTTTTCAGTGTACTTACAGAAGCCTTTAGGGCATAACAAAAGTGCTGTTTGTAGCATAATGATGGACATTTTTTGCCAGTACATTTTTCTGAGAAATTGCCTAAGAGGGATGCTTTACCTGCTGTTTTAGAGAAACTAACAGAGAGAAGCTGGGAAAGCCAAACATAGCGATTCTCAGTGCACTATATTCAAAGTATCACCTTATCAGGGGACTTTAAAAAGATTATAGTATTTTACAGAAAAAAAAATTACAGTAGTAGTTTGTAGGGTCAACTCAGTAGTTGCTTTCTTATAAAACATCAGTCTTGACTTGTCTTGAATCGTGATTACATTTTCATTTTACCCACTTGCAGCTGTGTGTAATTTCCTTTTCTTGTGATGTCAGATGAATGTTAACAGGGCTGTCAATAAGGGCCGGTAGCCGGCCAAAACCGCCGGCTAGTTAGCCATCCTTAGCCGGCTACTTTCATCTCCTTCTACCATAACCGGTACAAAAAATAAGTACCATCGAATAATGATGATCAATGACATTGAACGTATATTGAACAAGTCTAGATCTGTGAAACGTTCGAACCATGCCATGTTGTGAAATGCCTGGGACACTTTGACGGCACCGTTCCAAGTCTTGCGTGTATTCTGACGAAGCAACATGGCGTCCGCGATGGAAAAATACCTCTTGAAAAACCCTGGAAATAGGGTTTCCGAGGCTCTAAATTCCAAAATGTCCTTAGATGCCTCAGTCCTGAAGAACTTGTGCCTTTGGTGCGAGTTCCAAAGCCGCCTACTATTCGTTATCAGCCTGCCACTTAAAAACTTTTTGACAGCCCTGTGTTAATATCAGTTAGATAACTCCATTAAAAAGCTTGTTCTTATTCTCTTTGATTTCAGTGGTGCTGCACTTGCAGATGCTCAAAATTCATCCTTATTTGTTAAGGTAATCATTTTTTAGTGTCGTGCACACTTACTCTGCCAATGCTCCAACCAGTCAGTTCTCAAAATTCATCATCCTCCTAGCCCATCATTAATTTTGTTACATTTTACTTTGTCATACAGTCAAACCTGTATATAACGGCCTTGTATATAGCGGTTGCCCTGTATATTCAGGCACCGGACAACTTCCCAAAATTTTCAGTTGCCTAATATTTTCTGCAAAGTTGACCTGTATATAAGGGTCACCTTGCCATTTGCCAAGGGTGTATACAGACTGTATTCAGGTGAACCTCCCTTAAAAATGATATAATAATAAAACTGTCAGGCCAAAATGTGGTGGCAGTTGCTTGCCAGTGGTGGTCATTTACTTTCGGATCTAATAGGCTTTGATGGAGAAAGTTTTGGTGTTTTAGAGAGGTGGACGCTCCTACAGGTGTAATCTTTGAGTCTGTGATGTCTACCAAACCAGTGTAGTCATATCATTGCAAAAAGTCTTTCAGTGAGCAAGCTCGCAAAATCTATGAAACATTTTCTCATAATGTCATGTCAGCCATATTGGTGTTCCTAAACAATGAAACAGCAGCCATGTTGGTGTTCCAAATGAGTCCTTCTCATGGGAGGTGAACCTTTTTCCTATATAAAAGCTCTCTTTTGTTCCATTAAATTTGCGTAGCTAGTAACCTGGGTACCAGAGGTTTTTTCTCGCGTGCGACAAGGAGCTTGTGGCCGACTTTTTCATGCAGGTCACTTTTTAAGACTTGACCGAAACCAGAAACCGCGCATGAAAAGCCTCTGGAACCCAGGGTATGTAGCTAGTGGCCATTTGAGTGAAAATGCTCTGTAATGTCAGAGGCTAACAGTGCATTGCTGTTAGCAGATGTTGACTGCTACTTTGTTATCTCGTTACACAAACACCCATGAAATATCAGGTGACCTTTCATGCGAAGACATGTACATGTACTGCATCTTCACATAGAAAAAATCACTATTGCTCTGCTAACATGATAAATTGTGCCTTTTACACTAAAATATATTTAGGTGAAATTGTTCGGTATTTTATTGGTGTTTTCTGTTAAAACCTTATTGAACTCATTCATAAAAATACCGTAGAAATTCCCAAAATAAGCCCCTCAATGTATAAACCCCTCCAAATATAAGCCCCTCCAAATATAAGCCCCCCAAAATCGTACCGCAAAAAACCCTCCGTAAAATCGCCCCTCCGAGTATAAGCCCCCAGGGGGGCTTGTACTTGGAATTTGCCATCGAATACAAAGATTAAAAAAGCAAAAATGGTAAATTTCCTGATTCTGAAACGCAAATTTCCCTCCGTAGATAAGCCCCTCCAAAAATAAGCCCCTCAAAAAGGGCCTTTGAAAAATATAATCCCCTGGGCTTATTTTCGGAATTTTACGGTATTTTTCAACACTCAAAGAGAAATTTCATATCCCTTTGCGGCCATATAATATCCCCCATTTAATAAACAATGGATATTGGACATTGGCTAAAAGACTTGTTTTGTATCGGTTGAAGGTTTTGATCATCGAGATCTTTGGTAGTGCCATTGGATTATTTGGCGTCATCATCGCCATCATACAGGTGTGTAGAATCCCTTTGTAAGCTGCAGCTTAACACATGCAATGAGTCATATATTTATCGAGATCATACAGATGTACTGTTGTCAAACAGGGTAAAGCTTGAAAAACAAAACAATCTGGCCCCCTTCCACCCACCCTCAACCAAAACATGTTTTTGTTGTTTTCAAGAGATACCTGGAGCAGTGGCTCAAATTTGGTTTTTGGTGGGGTGGGGTGGGGTGGGGTGGGGTGGTGATGGGAAGACTTGCTTCCTCCTTTTTGAACTAGATAGTGTTTAAAAAAACTTGAGACAGGTTGGTGAGGACAAAATGATGGCCCATTGTTGCTTGCAAGTAAACTATCTGTTCAAGTACGAGGGGTTCATGCCCGATGCCCTACAAATATAGAGACCAAAGTTGAGACTGTTAATTTATTTTTTCCACAGACCAGTCATGCTTCAATGTCCATTAAAGGATCATCTTGAAGATTCTTCTGTTATGGATGAAGGGAGTGTAAAAGAAACATTAATAAGCAAAAAATCAATTTATGATGTATCCTTGGATGATGAAGTTTGATTCATTACGAAAGTTAAACAAAACTCGCGTTGGATTATTTTTTTAATGTACTGTTCTGTTCCAGAAAACTGATACTAATAGAAATATAATATTTTTGTTTTTCACCAAAAAGCGTTCATTCACGTCAGTCTTCAACTTGAGACTTACGTTTGATAGGGGTAGACTTATGATACGTTTGCGAGGTTGTAGCTAGCAAGAGGTATTACGAGGGGCTTGCCGCGACTAGGCTTCTACATTTTTCAGGGTGCATGCCCCCAGATCCCCGTAACAGCTCGCGCCTTTAGACTGTATACAGCAGCCCCCTCCCCTCAAACAAAATCAGGGAGAGAGACTCTTCCCGATTTTGTTTGAGGAAAGAGACGGCTGTACACAGGCGTCGCGCCAATAGTCTGGCTACGATCCCGCGTTTAGTTTTAAAACGTGAGACTCAAGTAAGAATTGAGGAGATACTTTTCTTACGAGTGTCTTGTTGGAGGATAATTGAGAGTGGTCTCTGATTAGAAGCTTTAAGTAATGTTAAAAATGTCCCTTGTTTTAGCTAAACTTCTGTTTAGTTTCATGCTCACAGGATTATGATTATCAGACTCACATTTCTCATGCAAATCTAGCTTCATTATCAGAACTACGAAAATACAAAAACAAAATGAAAAAAACAAGCAATGATATGGAATCCGTATAGTAAGGCCGTGTACCCAGTGTAAATTTGAGCGGTTCTGTAACCAGTAAAATATTAAAATGGCGTGAACATTATTGTTGGAAGAAATATTGATTCAATGATGTTGCCATGGCAGTGCGATGATCCAAATAAAAACAAACTGTAGATATAGCCCTACTGGTGCAATGATTGTATAATGTAATATTAGTGCTTTTTCAATGTTTTTTTCTTTTTGTTGTCTTTCTAATTAAACTTTAAATGGTCGTGAGCACAAGAGTAAAAGAAATGTAGCTCAATATTGACGACCAAAAGATAAATTCTCGCGAACAATTCTTACATCGAAATAGCGAACAATTCTCGTCACTGAGTCTAGAAAGCTCATCTGAAACAAAGAAATCATGTTGAGAAGTGTCTGATGATGAATATGATGGGATTAGCAAAAAAGCGACTTGGGCAATATCTCTTTAATATATTTATTATTTATGATCAATATTTTTATAAATGGCCTATTATATATATTTGTGTGAAACTGATAGCAAAAAGCCCTACCATTTCATTATCAAAGTCTGCATCGTCATACTTACTCGATGGAGTGAGGAGATCAGTTGAAAATCATTATTTCGTTTATGATTAATAATATCGCCCTTGGCCTAGAGTAAAACTCGTAAAACTTAACGGCTCTCCTGTTTAAGGTTCAGTATTCTTTCATGTGTCTTTCCTAGTTATTAATCACGAAAGTGAGTGGATATTATTCACTATAACAAGATTAGGTAACCTCACGAATTCAGTAACCAGAGTTAAGTTTTGTCTGTGGAGCAGGCTTCTCTTAAAACTACTGCTAATGAAGTTCACTGAGTCTTCCCATTTTATAGTTATACCACGTGATTTTGGCTTCGACCACCTGAACAGTACCACTGGACATACCACTAAAATAGCTTTCATCTGAATGTTCATCACCTTTTACAGCCTAATAAACAGCATCACATGAAAATACAGCTCAGAAGCTTTCATTTAAATGGATTTCAACCGGGATAAACTCAAAGGTTTGAACCGCCTTTCACGGTGCAATACACAGCACCACAGGGAAGGGCCGCTCAGTAGCTTTCATTTGAATGGTCATACTTTAGGATTTCATCCACATACTCAAAAGTTAGAACCACCTTGTACAGCATGATAAACAGCTTCCTAGGAAAAAAACTACTCAGTAGTAGTAGCTTTCAACTATAAATGGTGTGAAAGGGCCAACTAACACAATTTAACTGAATCACCTCTTTATCTTTATCGTAGACAAAAATCACTGTCGTAGTCCTTTCAGTAGATCCATATCTGTGATAGCATTCAAGTAAAAATCACTGAGCAGATTGAACTAGAGATTCTGGAGATTTATCATCTCGTGTGTAAGCGAAACTCGTCATCGAACAATTTATTTTTTAAACTTTGACTTCACATTTTTTTTATTGAATTTGACCTCCCTTGTGAACAGAACAGTCTACAAACTATTTGATCGACGTTCTGATTTCAAGTTAATTTATACAGAAATTTTGAATAACTTTAACTATAATTATGTTGTTTTCGTGTTCTCGCCCTGCATCTGTCCACCTGCTATTTGTGTTTTCATCGGTGCTTTTTCGTGAAGTTTCAGCTCAAATGGATAAGAAGGGTGTTATTTTACTTAATTTTAATCGAAAACCATATCTCGCTTGCAGAAAGCCGATTGGTATTCGAAGTTCTCTATTTCAATGCATTTTCAGTGTTGTCTAACTCTTATTTTACAGAACGCTCGTATACTTCTGAGATTGTTTTACCCGTCATCTGTGAGATTTCGCACTTCGGTTCTATATTTACAGTGAAACGAAACAGCGAAGCAATATCATGATCGCAACTGAAACCTGCTTCATTATAAACTACATTAGCCGGTATTAACATCACGCTGCGTATAGCGTGAACAAAATAAAAATAAATAAATGACTGATCGACTCGCTAGGTAGCTTTGACCTTGCTGCAACGTCCTGTTCTTCGTAAAATGCTACGCTTCCGTTAATTTACAGAAAAGACGGAACGATATAACAAAATTTAAGCTCTATTTTAAGTCATTATTAGTTAAAAAGATGCCTCTTTTAAAGGGCCACACACGAGATCCCCTGTCACGCAGCAACTAATGTTCAATCTTCTTCGAGAAAAATGGTGTTTCGTTTTAAGTTTACTCTATGCTCATTTCGGTACTGAAGCAGCTGACACGAATAAAGCGAAAATTTCCTGCATTAAACTAGAAAAATGAGCGCTTGACTGGTTACATTCGCTGATCACTCCATCGGTACCCAATTCAGCCACTTTAGCAGCTCCCAGAACGAAATCTTCCCATTTTTGTGCTGGTCGAGGTATTCAAAGAACTTCTGTGCATCAACGTCGTGGTACCCAAGAGAAACGAGTAAATGTTTCAGTTCTTCCTGGTTCAAGCCATTGCTGTTATCTTTGTCGTAGATTTTGAATAATTCCACTGCTTTGCAAAGAGTCTTGAATTGTATTTGATCGTTGATCATCGTAAAACGTTCCCCACTTCGCAGCCAGGCGAGAAATTCCTCGAATGATATGTTCTGGTCGCCGTCTTTGTCCAGCAGCATGGAGTAAACTTTGGCTTGTTCTTTCTTGAAGCCTAAATCTTTCTGCAAAAGTTCATTCAATTCTTGCGCGTCTAGCGTACCGGTTCTGCTTTTATCGTACTTGTCGAAAAGGCTTCGAATAACCACTTGGGGGGTGTTGTTGTCGAAGAAACTTGTTCCAGCTTGCATCTTGAGAGTGACTTACTTGCTGCAATGAGGTAAACGTAAACGTGAACGGATTGATGGATTGTTTGTTCGCTTGTCTTTTATAACGCTTAAATCGAAAGCAAATGGTTTATATTAATGGCTTTCTAGTAAAGTACCAATAATAGGCTTCCTATTGACGTCAAGATACGCTCGATCGCCGTCCCTTTGAGTCTGGATCGCAACAATCCAGGCGTCTATATATCCATAACTTTGTTATCCGAATTCGCTTTTCATATTTCTTTACTACGTGGGTGATAAAAAGAAGGAAGTTTCTGCCATTGAGTGTTTGTTTATTTTACACCTGTTGTACAAATAGCGGGAGAGAACACGTCGTCATGAATTTGCGAAAACGAAGTTTGATGCGCAAATTACCTTGTATTGTTGACGTCAAAATATGCCATTTTTCTCCGTGTCAATGGAATTTTCCGTTCAAGTGAATCTTGAGAAAAGAAAGGCGGTGTTTTCAGTCAACAAGCACTTAGGACTGATAAAAGAACAAACGCAAAACAAACCGGTAAATTTCCGAAATTTTTAAGATCGTTCTAGCCTGTCTCAGCCTTCGGATTAGAGGGACGTGCCAAAATTTACGGGGAAGGACAAGGATGAGCCATGACTAAGCAAATAATTTGACTAATTCGTTTTCTCTTGGCCACTTTGTCCAGTATGCAGCATGCATTGTCTCCGAAGAGCTAAAAGAGTGATTACAGTTGACTCCCGATAACTCGAACCCTCGCTAACTCGAACCTCGTGCATGCGAACTCGAACCATAGTCGATTTCCCCCTGCATTTCCTTCAGTACTTTTACTGTAATTTTACCCACGATAACTCGAACCTCCCGCTAACTCGAAGTACTTTTTGTTTCCCTTTAGCTCATTTCTACAGGAGTACCCAACGGGAAAAATTTCTATACAATTTTACCCTCAATAACTCGAACCATGTTTTAAGCGCGTGACAAGTCGAGGAAAAAAAGGGTGTACTGAAGTCCGAAATATTGAATTTATCTCAAAACAACCGAGTAAATTCTTTGTCTTTACTTTTTTGTCACTCCAGTTCAAATTCAGTGTCCATTCCTGTATACTTAGTTGCTTAATTGCCTTTCCCCCCATCCATTTGCTTATTTCCTTACTTCCGGTTATTTTCTTCAAACTCGCGATAACTCGAACTCCCGATAACTCAAACTTTTCTCGATTTCCCTTGAAGGTTCGAGTTATCGGGAGTCGACTGTATTTTATGGTAGCCCACAACTGTCACTGTCTTTTGTTTTTGCCGTGAGGTTGTTGGTTTTTGCCGTGAAGTATATTGGTTTTGCCGTGAGGTTTTTGGTTTTGCCGTGAGGTTTTCGGTTTTGCCGTGAGGTATTTTGTTTTTGCCGTGAGGTTTTTGGTTTTGCCGTGAGGTTTTCGGTTTTGCCGTGAGATATTTTGTTTTTGCCGTGAGGTTTTTGGTTTTGCCGTGAGGTTTTCGGTTTTGCCGTGAGGTTTTCGGTTTTGCAGTGAGGTATTTTGTTTTTGCCGTGAGGTTTTTGGTTTTTGCCGTGACAGTTGTGGGCCACCTTAGTATTTAAATGCACTGTTTTTATAATAAGGGTCGTTTCGAAGTTTTGATGAGGCCGCACATGTTTTTTAACCCGTTAAGTCCCAATATCCACATACAAATTCTCCAAACTGATCTATATATTTCCCTAAGAATTAGTTGAAAGAATTTGACAAAATATCATGGCATTTTCACTTAGGTGATCATTTCATTAACTCTCATTACCTCTTCTCTTGACAATCTATGGATATTGTTAGGAGAAAATTGGTTTTGGTCACTATTGGCACGTAAAGGGTTTACTGTAAAGGAACCGTGTCACGAAATTCAGCCAAATTAGGAAATTACAAAATGCCCGTTAAATTAAGAGAAACCAGCTTCTGGAGAAATATAAAAGTAACCGCTTAAAACTTTAAAACACCACGGATGAGCAAAACTGAAGAAGATTGAAACGGATTGAAATTATGGTTTTTGAAAACTGTTCAGCCTAACAGTTCTCTGCTTGCAACTTCAAAAATAATGCTCAGGAGACATATTTGTTTGTCTCGGATATCTGATTTTGTAATTTACATGTAATTTCTTTGCTTACTCTAAGTTCCATATCGATTGAGGGCGAGTAATTGGCAAAATTAAACAAAATGAACTGGACTGCCGTGACACAGCCCTTTTAAAGGGGCTGCCTTGTCACAGCGTCTTGTTCATAATATTAACCCTTTAAGCCCTAAATGTGATCAGCATCAATTTTCTCTTTGTAACATCTTTGCTCAGTAAAACATGATGGTAACAAGAATTAAGGGATTGATCACAAAAGATGAAGTTAATTGATACTCTAACAGCGTCTCCCCACTTCTTCTATAGGAATGTATAGAGACAACAAATGAGAATTTAAATTTTGATATCAGGGTTTTATAGGGTTAATAATGCCAATTTACTTTCCAAGGATTATATCGAATTCGAAATAGACAGACTGCAAATTATCTTAGTTGCTAAAAAATATATATCTACGTGTCGCAACTGTTCATCAGTAGGGCCAAGAGAAACCTTACAAACAACAAAATGACCTTTAAACAACTGTTAGGTTAACGAGTCTTCATTGAAAAACGTACAATTTCAATCCGTTATAATCCTTTTGAAATTTGCCCATCGGTGCCTTCTTTTATATTTGCTCCGTTATTTATAACACTGTTTTATTAGTCTGCTACACAGCCGTTTTTAATGTCGTCACGCAACGCTCGTGGGGAGGAGCATTGCGTGACGACTCTAAAAACGGCTGTGTAGCAGACTACTGTTTTATAGGCCTTTTTTTAATTTATATTTGGAGCGATTGTTTCATATGTTTCATTCAGTTTGGTGGGAGTTCCTACTGTTAGAAAATTAATAAAATTCGTGATGCAGCTCCTTTAAGAGTTTTCGAGCTGTATGGTCTACGTGGCGGATATTTTAAGCCTTCTCAGAATTGGTAGATATACTACAAGTCCTTTCTGACCTTGGTTTTCATTGGTCCGTGTGAGCAAATGTAACCCAATTAGCCTTAGCCTTTCTCTTTTTTAGCTGTCAATTCATCTCGCAATGACTATGTTTATCGATCGTCACCTTTTTGTTTACGTAAGCATTCATGTTTGTTTTTTGGTTCTTAGAGTTGGGTAATTTCTAGCTTTCTTTCTGTTCACACAGTTTGTGATCCAAACCTGTCCTTATAATATAAACTTCGCTTCGACAACATCATAAATCGAGAGATTTTTATGAAGTCACTACCTCTCTGGCCCGGTAGTACGCAGAAAAGCGGGCAATCCCGAGCAGAATAGCTCCACGCACTCGTCGGTTAAACGTAGAGGGGCAAGAGAGGATCTATCGACCGTTTTTTCTAAACCTGTAGGCGAGTATGAAACATATACTCTGTTGCTACTCTATCCGTAGTGTGAACACCTTCAGTCGATGTTACTTAATCAACCGCTTAGCTCCGTCATAGAAATCGCGCCGCAACAACCGTTCTTCAGTGTGAATAAAAGCCCTATCCAGTATAATGTAAACATAGACTAAGACGATGTAAAAATAAAGCGCAAAGAACCGGTGGAGATTTTACCCAGAAGTCCTTAGTCTTATGGGAAGGCAAAGTATACCGTGATTATGAACCAGGCTTCTTCCCATAATGCCTTGTGTATTACTCATTAAAGTTTCCGCCCTCTAGTTCGCACGTGTCATATTGCATGATCTCTAGAAAGAACCGCAAACTACCGTTTTCTCATTGCGGTTTATTTATCCCACCTTTGATTGTTTTTCTCTCGCGTGGCTACAGCATTCCAGAGAAATTAATTCTACTGATTTGTTTTCGTAGTTCCACAGTATTATAAATGGTCATTGATGAAGAGTGGAGAGATGACACATGTTGACGTAAAATAAACTATACAGTCCTTCAAAGACTGAAGTGGACCGTAACATTAAATGAATTACGAAATAATTAGTCTCATGAAAAATCGTAAACGTCAATTTATTTTGCGTGCGATCGATGAAGCAAAGTTCACTGAAATATATATGTAATAAATATTATATAATACATCAGACGTTTCCTTCTACATCACAGCTAAATATAAATAAATATACACCTTTGCCTTACAATTTGAAAACAAAGAGCTTGGTAAAATTTCGGGGTAGGGCGGTATAATACATATCTTTATCTCTTTTCTTTTGTATATTGATAAAATTTATGTCGTTATATTTAGTCTCTCAGTCATTGCTCGTGAATAACTTCAAGGTTTTATATCATAGCAGATGTTGTTTTCTAAGAAAACGACCAAAAAATAGTATGGTCAGCTTGCATCTGTCCTGTAAAGATAGTTTCTCTTCTACAATCTCCTGCGTCGTACAGAGAAGAGTTTGTTCATGTAGTCTTCATTAAGCAATTGGAGACCAGTCCAGCCATATCATGAATTCCCAAAATGAAATTTTACCATCATTGAGCCTGTCCATAGCGGCAAAAACTTTATCCATGTCTTGTGCTGGATATCCCAGAAATTTCATAAGCGACTCGAACTGCATTCTATCCAAAGTTCCTGTGTTGTCGGTATCGAAATCTTTAAAATGCTCGAAAGCTGTGCAGAGTCGGTCGAATTTGGAACTGTCGTTTAATCGCTGGAATTTTTCCTCGCTTCTCAGCCATTCTTTGAATTCACTGTAAGAGATCCCCTGGTCTCCATCTTTGTCGACGAGAAAGAAGTAGATTTGAGCCTGCTCAAAGTCAAGGCCCAATGCTTCTTCAAGAAAAGATTTCATTTCGTTCTCGCCAAGTTTTCCATTTCTTTTTGTGTCGTATTTGTCAAAAAGGCTGTGAATAGCGATTGATGGAACGCTTCTGTTGAAAAAACTCAAACCGCTACCTGCCATGTTAAGTTAAATCTCTGAAAATCTCCTCAGTGTGTGATCTTTGACTTTGTTTTGGGAAATAAACAAAGAAGGGGGACTCGCGTTCCTTTTATATCCTAAATCGTCATCATTTCTTGTGTCACGTCTGCATTTCCTGGAAAAAGGTTAATTAAGCCCGCAATGGAAATTAACATGAAAACTCCGACAAACGTGACCTTGAACTTCAGCCAAATGTTAATGAAATGCGGCCAAATGAAGTAACTTAAAAGGGGGAAGACCCTTTCAAGATATTAAAGTACAACAGGTGCGCTTTTAAAAAAAAAAGGTAAACGCAAAAAAGAAGATAATTCATTTGGAGAAAAGAATATTTATTGTTTTCGCTAGAAATTATGATTAAAACAGCTTAAAAATTATAATGAGTATATTTCGTCAAGTGTTATTGACTCCTGGAGACACTAGTATTTATTCGGATAAATACTTCCGGTTTCTAACGAAAACGACGCATTTTGTGTGGCAAACACAACGTCATGTCCTGATGTATTGAAACGTGCCTTGGTGGCGCTTCAAGACCACGTTTCTTTGCCCTTTAAAATTTACCAACAACATTGGGATATTTGAGCTCAACAAGTGATCTTTGTTTGTTTTATATTGTAAATACGCCATGTTGGAGCGAGGAGAAACGGCTGTATTCGCAGGCGAGGCCGACTTCAATTTTAATATTCGAAACAAATAGCCCTGAAAGTTTGCTCCTCGAGCAGAAGTCTGTAGGTTTTATAATTCACCAATATTTGAAATACTTGTTCATTCGAAAGGGTCTTCAAAGGAGGGAATTTTCACCGCCTGTTGCGATATTAATATAAACATGGTGATTAAAATATGCAGAAAGATGGATGCTTGCCAAACATGTTCTGCCGTCATAGGGGGCCATCAATTTCATGAAGAGGAATGAAATGACCTTTGACTAAAATCATTGACGCACAACGGCAAGAGTAAGCATAAAAAAATGACAGCTGAAATGCGGAAGATAGAGTTTGCCCAAAAGTGCTGAGCGTTTGAGATTATGTCAATATTGTTCTCTAGGCGAGAAACAATGAACTACAGTGTTTCTTTGAGTGTTTCTCACAAACGAAACAATACTCTTTTCCTCTATTGATAATTTCGATCCTTGTTTTGCAAGGAAGTTTGTACCCTGCGAGCAGAGGCCCTTTGATCTTCCTTGATACGTCGGGAACCCTTCCTCTTCACGATGGCTTTTCTAGGAAGATCGAAGGGCCTCTACTCGCAGGGTAGGAAGTTTGCCACATCCTCTATCTGGCATTAAACTTAGCCGCTATATATTTATAATTTTTCTTTGTATTTTACAGTTACAGTATTATTGTTATTATTTTCTCCGTTATATAATCCTATGGTGGCTAAATATCTGGCGTTTTTCGGGGGGGAAAGGAGAAAAGAGAAGCAAAAAGGGTCTGACACCAGTCACTTAGGCTGTTCATAGAGCCAATAGACATTACATTGGATTGAATTGAGGGATGAATTCATAAATTTTAAGAGAAGAAAAAGTATTGTGGTTTCACTTATATATAAAGAAGTCTTTTTATAACAGGAGTTTAAAAACCTGAGCAGGCTAGGCCATGAATAAAATATTTAAGAACTTCAAATAGCATAGAAACAAACCGCAAGAAGAATCCAACGATACTCATCGCGCGCAGGGGTAATGTAATGGATCGCATCCTGTAAGAATTACATCTGTACCCGAAATTTAAATTTAACAAACGCTCAATTTTGTGTGGTAAATATAATCCATCCGAAAGTACTAGCCGGAGTACCCTGGGTGCCAGAGACTTTTCATGCGCGGTTTCCGGTTTCGGCCGAAGACATGTCGGCCTGCGGCCGACACCCGGCGAAAGCTCCTCGTCGCATGCGAGAAAAAACCTATATACCCAGGGTATAGCCGGAGCGGTTTCTTTTCAACAGTCTCGACCAATGTATTGTTCCCCAACCACATTGTGATTCATACATGACGTTGTGTTTCTTCCTATTTTTTGCGCTCGCTTACGTATTTGTTTACAAATGGTCGCGACGCCCCGAAAACAAGGACAAGCGTAAAGAGGATGAATAGACGCTTCACACCCAAAAAGAATTTCCGGAAACAAAGTTCATCTTTGTGACGTCAGAGGTGTCATGTACCTGTACAACGCACGTGTTGTGAACTACGAACGCGCAAGTGTTTTGCCTCGTTGAAAGGAGGCAGGCGGGAGAAAGGAATGAAGATACCCGGGCGGGGGTTGCAAGGTATGTGCCGCTGGCCTCTCAGAGCCCCTACCCCGTTATAGTCTATTCTGTTGCCAATTATAGACCCCATCTTAGTCACTTTTGGGCAAACATGTAATTTTCGCCATCCCAACTTAGTCACTTTCTGTTCATGTATCTACCTTATACCGAATGAAGAACACTTTACTTTTCACATACAGTACAAACATTCTGGTACGTTTGCTAACCGTAAATATGGAGAACTGTCTTACCCCAAAATCAGAAAATGTGCGACCCCATCCTAGTAACTCTATTGAAAATGCGACCCCATCCAGCGGCACATCCCCATTGTAAATGGCCGTAAATCGGCTCGGAAACCACACAGGAAAGAAGAAACACACAACTCAAGCAAGGTTAGCCGATTTTTATTTAAATCCTTTTACATTCGTTGGATACAGAAACAATTCTTTTCTCCCATACAAACCCTTATATTTAGGACCTTACGCAACCGTGCTGATGGTCATATTTCGAGCTTGGGCTACCTGTTGGGTAAGTGAGTTTTATATTCTAATTCGCTACCCCGCTCAAACGAATATAAAACATTTATCATGTAACAAGCAACCTCAATTGGGGTGTGTCAACACGAGCCGTGTGCGACCCTCTTTATTATGCCTTCATTAACAGAATGGATGGAAATAATACAACAAACAGAATGAAAACTCGGAAATGTAAAAAATTACAGCAAGAAAAACAACCCAACAAAATGATCTAAACTATGCTCGTATAACAATGATTCATACAAAACGTGCTAAACTTTTCATATAGCAGCATGCAAAAAACTACGTCTAAGAGAAACCCCTGGTCACTGGGTATTTAATTTTGAGGGCGTAGGGACGGTCGTAAGACAAGAATGAATATAAATGAGAACAACTCAAATATATAGCCTACCGCTAATGAAGCAACAGAACAGCATACCATGTAACACCCCAAAGAAAAGGTTACGTAACCCATGATAAATACATATCTTTAGCAGAGCGTTTACAAGGCACGTAGGGTAACCCTCTTGCTAGGGTAACTCTAGCACTCGGGTAGGGTTACCCTAGCGCTAAGGTAACCCAGTAGTTGCCTTGTAAACACGTCGTGTGAATAAAGAAGAAATATGCGAGTGCTAAGGTAACCCTAGCACCAGGGTTACCCTCCCTCCTTGTAAACAGGGCTTACCAAAGTCTTGAAATTTTCGAAGACTTGAAGAAAGGCACTGCCGGTACGTATGTCCCAAGGATGAGCTTCACCCAACTGATCACAGCAATAACCGAGAACAAGCCGGAACAAACAGGCAAATAACTTTGTTTTTGCAGACGTGGTATGACAGAGCCTACCCCCAACTCCCCCCCCCCCCCCCCCCCCCCCCCCCCCAAAAAAAAGCAGTGCATAAATTAAGGGCGTAGGCTTGTTTAGAACCTCAATCAAATTACCTTGCGAGCAGAGGGTTCTTTCTGGCATGGCATTTTATTGCTAGGAGCCCATTATTAATTGATAAGCTCCTGTTATAGCTGAAAGAAGTCGTGTGGCTTGTCAGAAAGTACGTGACTAACTTAACAGCGACACGGACGACTTCGTATTAACACGTTGAAGTGCTAAAGACATGCCAGAACGAATAACCTTTACTCAAAGGGTGCAATGAAATTATTTTATTGTTCGGAGAACTCGGAATTTTTTCCCACTGAGTCGCTCGCTCCTTTTCGAGCAGATGGCTGAAATTTGGACTAAAATATAACCTGATGATAATCTAACATTTTTAGCTTTAATTTTTTGGGTAAAAAACACGGACAGATATAGTACCGTTGAAGCACGCACCAACGAACTCAGTTAGGAGAATTCCAAATTTGATAGATTGAATGTAGAGAGGCACGTCTTAGCAATGCTGTGTGATTGAACTCGAGTGGTTTTTAATTAAAAATTACAATTTATGAAATAAAATTTGCGTTTATCGTTTTTGCAAAGATCACCCCGCACGTGATTCTATTTTAAGATTAAATCATCAAGGAGCCCGGCTATGGGTATATAATAGACCAAGAATTCACATTTGCCACAATTATACCCAAAGCCGATATACCGTGCATCTGATATACTTTGAAGAGACCGATATCTAAAAGCATGCAAACAGGAGTCAGCTTTTTCGACAAAAACGCTCCGAAAGTCGCCATTCGTAGTCTCTTTGACAAATACGATGCGAACAGCAATGGGAAGCTTGAAGAACAGGAAATGCAGTTCCTACTGGAGGGAGACCTAGGCTTCAGTCAGGAACAATCCTGGGCCTATTTTCTACTGTTGGACAAAAATGGGGATCATAATATCTCCTTTGAAGAATTCCACGACTGGCTTCGCAGCGGGGAACGCTTCGAAATTTTGAACGACAAAGGCAAGTATCACTCCCTCTCGGAAGCACTTAATTACTTCAAAAGTTTTGACTCTGACAACAGCGACACCCTTGACCGAGTCCAGTTCGAAAAGATGATGAAGTTCTTTGGCTATGAAAGTATAAACATGGAGAAGGCGTTTGCGGAGATCGATAAAGACGGAAATGGAGCAGTTTCTTTTTGGGAGTTCATGGTTTGGTTAAAATGGGTACCAGTTCTCAACTAGCTGGGACAGGCAGAACTGAACAGTTTGCCTACTTTTATGCAGCAAAATTGATATGTACTTCTTGTAATTTTAGTATGTGAAGTACCACTGATGTACGTTATTAAAATAAAATGCATCCTAACGCTCTAGGGCTCAAGAGTCCACATTGCAGGGGCACCCAACGAGAATATAGTTCAAAACCACATAAACATAGCATTGTTGAACGTACTTTAGTATTTAAACGGTAGATAAAGGCTTATTTTTATCCCCTAAAAATTTTTTATCTGTTCGGATTTCCTAGCTGAAAGTATAGTGATCCGAAAATTATAGGGATGAAAATTTACCTTTCCGAAAATTTCAGCCAGAAAAAAGGCTCCCGAAAATTCTAGGTGACCTTTTTAGGGTAAAAATCCGTAAAAATGGGCAATTATACGATTTTTTTGAAGTTCGAAAATCCTAGGAGAGGCAGGCAAGCAAGAAATTTTTCAGAAAATGATCCGAAAATTCTAGACCTCAAATCGTCTTCCGAACAGATAATTTTCCGAAAATTGTCGTTGGGTGCCCCTGACATTGACGATACAGGACGTGAGGCAAAAGGACCATCAAATTTGACTTTAATTTTTGTACCTCAGAAACAAAAAAGGATGTTTTATTTATGCCAGGTATCTAAGTATTGCAATTTGTTGCGTGCTTATATTTATAAAATCATAAAATATAGAAACATGTAATTTACAGTTATATATAATCATAACTATAACAAAATTCGCAAATCTGATTGGCTATCAACTGCCCTGATATGATTTCAGCCTTAATAGGACAGTTTAATAGGACAGTACGCGTCATGACTAACTCATTGAAGAGTACGCGCCATCACGCGAGCGCTTAAATGTAAATGAAAACTATTGGAATTTCTTGTGTTTTGATTAAAAAAGAGCCTTATATGTCACAAATTTTGTTAAAGGTACGATTAATTGATAACAGAACTTCGTGTCGTCCAGTTTGGTCTGCTATTACCTATACTAATCATACTCGTGATTACTGAAACAAATCGGACTCCCCCTACTTGATCGTCCCACTTTGTTTTAACAAAAAAATCAATCGTATGATTACAGACCGAAGGGGACTCCACTCAGTCCTATTGCCATTACAAACACTCGTCCCAATACGGATGGCGGTTTCACTTTATTTAAATGTATTTAGACTTAGCTTTCGCCTTTTTTCCTGGTATTGTTTCTTAGAAGAATACGACTTTGCTACTAAGATTTCCGGGCCCGATTCCTGAAAATTAGCGCTAATCCAGGATTAAAATTTTGTTCAATTGTTGTATTTTACCTTCCTTTGTATTGCTTAGAGTAACAATTTCTGTTACCATCCTGTATCTTGGAGTGAAGGCTCGACAGTTTTTGTAATCTCGAATGGCATGTTCTTAGACAAGAAAACCTTGATTAAAATTTTCCTGGGTTAAACTTAACCATCTTTCGAGAAACCGGGATCTAATTGTGTGTTTACCAGTATCATGAGCTGAAAACCGACATGACGTCACTCATCATGACTCATGCATGCAGAACGTGCCACTCAAATCCGTGTTAATTTTTCCGTATAAATTTTTCTTGTAAAATAGCCCCCCTTTTCATTCGTAAGTAATAAATACACACTATGAAAAATGTAAAATCAGACAAAAAGCTCAATAATGACACGACTCACGTCAATGAAAATGCGCAATTAAATCAATATAAAATCGTACGTTAACTTCAAAGAATAGAGTGTAGTAGCAATAGTAGCAAAAATAATTAGTCATAAAAAATTTCCCGACATAAAATTTTCTGTTTTCAATCAAACGGACTGAAGCGGAGTGACGGCCGGGAAAGACGAACCAAAGTTGTTTTAACCACAGTCAACCCACCCTTTTTAAACAATTTGAAATTTGAGAACAAAGTCGATGTTGTTTTTGTTTGTTTGTTTATTTTTTTATCATCGGTGAATTAATTTTAATCAACCCTGGAAATTAAGCGATGTCATTCTAGTTGTGGAAGAAGAGAAATTCCATGTTCACCGCGCCGTGCTTGCTTTGTCATCTCCTGTCTTTGAGAAGATGTTTTGATCAGAATTTCAAGAAAAAGACAAGGAAGAAGTGACCCTTCCCGATAAAAAGGCAGGCGAGGTTGAAGGATTGCTTCTGATGTTATATCCCTCCGTGGCAGAGAAACAAATAACAGAGGAGATCAGAACTGTTTCTTTCTGGTGAACCTTGCCCACGAATATCAAATAGAGGCCATTGTTCGGAGATGCGAAGATTTTATGGTTGAGAATGTAAAAACTAAAGCGAAAGATTGTATCATTGCAGAATTGATTTTTGCACGGAAGTATGAATTAGTGAGATTGAAAAGGGCGACTATCGAGCGAGCTTATAATCTTAGCCTGGAAGAGTTAAAAAATGACAAAATGTACGACCAAATCGAGGAAGATGATCTGATGGATGTCATGGAAGGGATTATGTTACGGCAAGGCAAATAACTGCAAGAATTTAAGCATCAGTTTCAAAGAAATAAAGGAAACATTTTAGCCATAAATGAACGCAGCAACACTGCTTTGAAGGAGTTAGAGATGATCGCTAGGCAACTGGTTATTCATGCTGGTTTATGGATCCGTGATTTGAATAATTCCGATCCCTTAGTAAGCTGTCTTCTTGTATTGAGCATGGATGAAGGAAGCGATTACTGTAAAACATGCGACTCTGCGAGATGCCGCAGTCTTAGAGAAGTCTCAAAAAAATTGAGCTCTATAAAACACTCTCTAGAGGGTATCATGAAGAACGTCCAGCCGGACAAAGAAACCTTACTAATGCCTTAAATGCAAAATACCAACAGGCCATAAGCAGTGTAGCAAACATGGAGGGGTGAATGAATTTTATGCCTCAAAAAATTAGGCGTGTCATTGAGACTAGAGTTATTTATCGTGGCAGATACAAAAGTAACGAAATTATCGTTTGTGTCACTGTGTATAGACTAATCGTTTGAGATGTAGTTCATGGTGATGTTTCAACTGCTTAGCAGTATGGTCTTCTTCAGGTTATCCTTCGACGTCAGGTGAATATGCGGGGCATGTTAAAAACATGGTCTGGATTGGATTCGTAAAAGTACGGACCATAAGCCCACCTAAACAGAAATACACCTCCATTACACTATTTGATTGACCCTTAGTATAAAAAGTAAAAATAACATTGTTATTTACCCCTTCATTAATTTCATGGATGACAAATGCCGCTTAGATTTTGACACTAGTGTTGACTGAATCGACTAGAGAACTCTAAAAACTTTCAGCAAAAATTTTTCGATAAAAATTCTGTCAGAGGTTATCCATTACAGTTCTGATATGACGTATGGTTTGTTTATTTTGTATACTTCGGCACTAGTAGAATAGTAGGAAACACCGGGGTTAGACTGTTCACAGTCCTCTATTTTTCCGTAAGATCGTCGAGATCGAGCGCTTTGCGTTACGGACTGCCATCTTGCGTGAGTTTCAAAACTCAAGATGGCTGCCATAGCTTGCCATTAACGTAAGACGCGATATATCTCAACGATCTCACGAAAAAATAGGGGACTGTGAACAGTCTACACTCGGTCTTATATAAGTTTGGGGTTATTGTAGCATTTGAGGATTTTTTTGTGTGTTTTGAATTTGGGATCTTATATTTGAAGGACTTATGAGTAGAGGGGCTTATTTTTGGAAATAAGACTAAGGGCTTCGTTTTCGAAGAACAGGCTTTGAGACCAACGCAGAAAAAGGATACGTACTTTATTGCGAGTAATTTGATTATATTTGATAGAAATTAAACTTCNGCTGCCATAGCTTGCCATTAACGTAAGACGCGATATATCTCAACGATCTCACGAAAAAATAGGGGACTGTGAACAGTCTACACTCGGTCTTATATAAGTTTGGGGTTATTGTAGCATTTGAGGATTTTTTTGTGTGTTTTGAATTTGGGATCTTATATTTGAAGGACTTATGAGTAGAGGGGCTTATTTTTGGAAATAAGACTAAGGGCTTCGTTTTCGAAGAACAGGCTTTGAGACCAACGCAGAAAAAGGATACGTACTTTATTGCGAGTAATTTGATTATATTTGATAGAAATTAAACTTCATTGAGTAGAAATCTGTTTTTTCTATAGCCTATGAGAGGACTTGTTAAACATGACTGGGGCCTGACTGGATTTGTGAAAGGAGGATTTGTAAAACATGGATCAACTGGCTGATGAAGATGTAAACGATTAGTTAATAATCGCCAAAACAGGTGAAAAGCATCAATCCTAACAACCATCTCTGCTTTTTTATAATATAAAGAGGGCGTATCTTGTTGTCCTCTAATCCACAACATTACATTACACTTTAAACCACAGGCAGCCCAAGCTCAGCAGTGAGATTGAATGAATATATAAATGCATGAATGAATAGCGACGAATGGAACGCTTCTGTTGAAACAACTCACAAAACCTATCCGCCATATCAATCTCTTTAACGTGTGATCTTTGACTTTGTTTTGGGAGATAAACAAAGAAGGGGGACTCCCATTCCTTTTATACCCAAAATCGTCAATTTCTTATGTCACGTTTGCATTTCCTGGGAAAAGGCCGGAAAGGCTAACAGATGCATTTTATGGATGTGAGAAAGTCGAGAAAACGTTCTAGTTTAATATGATTTATTCAGTACCTAAGAGACAAAAAAAAGACGGAATAACTTAACGTAGCCGCATGCATCAACTAATTATAACTGCACGAAAAATTCTAAATTTAACAGACTTAGCATAGGTGCGTCTAGCCTGCTTGGCGGGCGTTTGAAAGGGAAGGGAGAGGGAGTTTCAGGCGTGAGAGAAACGCGAGGGCGCGCACCCCTCGCTTTTCTCTCGCGCCCAAAACCCCCATTCCCTTGCCTTTCAAACGCCTGCCACGCAGGGTAAGGCGCGTCTTATAAGCAATGCTGTGATTGAACAAGCAATTTATAAATTGCCGTCTCGCTTTTGTTTATTACAATGTAAATAAATCGATAATAACTTAAAATTCTCATATTTAAACAGTAAGGAGTACATAGAAATTAGCTGTATGCAATATGTTTAGTTCTGCCAGTCTCATCGCAGCTAGTCAATTGAGAACTGGTACCCATTTTAACCATACCATGAACTCCCAAAAAGACACTGCTCCGTTCTCGTCTTTGTCCATCTCCGCAAACGCCTTCTCCATGTCTATAGTCTCATAGCCAAAGAACTTCATCATCTTTTCGAACTGGGCTCGGTCAAGGGTGTCGCTGTTGTCAGAGTCAAAACTCTTGAAGTAATTAAGTGCTTCCGAGAGGGAGTGATACTTGGCTTTGTCGTTCAAAATTTCGAAGCGTTCCCCGCTGCGAAGCCAGTCTTGGAATTCTTCAAAGGAGATATTATGATCCTCATTTTTGTCCAACAGTAGAAAATAGGCCCCGGATTGTTCCTGATTGAAGCCTAAGTCTCCCTCCAGTAGGAACTGCATTTCCTGTTCTTCAAGCTTCCCATTGCTGTTCGCATCGTATTTGTCAAAAAGACTGCGTATGGCGGCTGTCGGAGCTTTTTTGTCAAAATAACTGAATCCTGCTTGCATGCCTCTTAATATTTCTTCAACGGTGTATCAGTATGTTATTGCCTTTGGCCTGTATGATTGTGGCAAATTGAATCCTTGATCTCATATATACACCCTTGCGACACTTTGAAATTTAACCTTAAAATAGAATCACACGTGAGGTATCTTGGCAAAAAAGATATACGCAAGTTGTAATTTTTACCTCATCAAATTTGACTCTAATTTCTCATATGGTACCTTGGAGACAAAAAGGACCTTAAAAATATGCCAAGAGTGTTGCAGTTTCTGCAGTTTGCTGCCTGCTGGGTAGAAACAAATAATTTACATACAAAACACTCGAATTAATATGTTGTTTCACCTTATTAAAGGGTATTTAAGCTTATGTTTTTTCTTTATTTACCCGGTATTGTTTCTTAGAAGAACATGATTTTACTACTTGAGTTCCGGTTAAGTAGTTTTGTATTCAGTTCAAGAAACTCGTGAGGTCGATTTGTTGTCTAAAACAGTCTTTACGTCAGCGGTGATGCAGAACGTGCCGCTCGAGAGATGTCTGCACGCAGGCAACTCAAATCAGTGGGTATTATAAGTATAAGTTTTTCTGTATTAAATTTTCTCATTTCTTTTAAAAACAAGCTTCTCTTTTCACTCGTAAGTAATAAAAACACACTGTAAAAATGTAAAACCAAAGACAAAAAAACGTTGACAAGACTCTCGTCCACGAAATTGCGAAATTGCTGAATATTTAAAACTTAAACTTTAATGAAGTAGATTGGTGTAGCAATAGTACCAAAAATAATTCGTTTTAATAAACAGATTTCAGCACGTAAAGTGTTCTGTTTTCGATCAAAAGGGCTAATCTGCTGGAATGTTTTAGACCAACACCAAAGAGGAAGCTGTTTTCCTTGCACAGTCAATCCACCCCGTTTAAAAACAATTTGACATTTGAAAACAAAGTCGATATAATTTTTGTTTGTTTGTTTGTTTCTCTTCGGTCACTGTTTGGTCAATATCCCGACATCGGAATGCTAACTGAAAATAGGGACAAATGTGTTGAACGGTGGGACGGTGGAAAGACTTTGAACATGACTTTGTGTTACTTCAGATTACGTCACAAATAATTTAATGACAGCAGGCATGAAAAAAGCCGTTCCGTCACGCTGATATGGAATGACAGTATGCCCTATTTTTAGAAACATTGCTAATAAAAAGGATTTGCAATTCACATATTGCAAAACCTTTATAAAGCGTGAAAGGGCAAAGTTTCATAAGAGAACGAAGACAACTAACGTTTCAGTTTTAAAGAATAAGAATTATATCGGTGGAAATGCAGGCAGGCCATTCTTACTTCTCCCGCGATGCTCCAGAAATCGCTATTCACAGCCTTTTCGACAAATACGACCTGGAAAAAAATGGCAAACTCGATAAAGCGGAGCTGAAGCAATTATTAGAAGGTGATTTGGGTTTAAGCCCTGAACAATCTTGTATCTACATGTTGATCTTAGACCACGCTGGCGAACACAACGTAACTTACGAAGAATTCTTCAACTGGCTGCGAAGTGGCGAACGCTTTGAAAACATCAACGACAAGTCGAAGTTCGGAAAATTGTGCAAAGCAGTGGAAATATTTAAAACTTATGACAAGGACGACACAGATACACTGGACAGAAAACAGTTTGAAAGTCTCGTAAAATCTCTTGGATACCGAAAGGTGAATTCAAAGAAACTCTTCAAGGAATTAGACGTGGATCACAATGGGAAACTTTCCTTTTATGAATTTATGAAATGGCTTAATTGGGTTCCAATTGAAGACTTCTAGAAACTTACCTAGCTCGGTTATGATCATAAGAAACTTAATTTACCACATGAGTACCTGTTAATTTTATTCTTTCACAGGGGATTTGTTTAAAATATTGTAGGAAAATGTGTATGAAGTAGCACGTATTTGTTCATATCTATCGAGGGCTGCATTTAAATTATTGTAATAGATGTTAACAATTGAGATTTATATTTCAAAAAAATATATATATTTGAAATCACATTCTCAATGGCTGTATACTTGCAATTGAATAAATATTTGAAGCACATTTCTTTATAACCCTCTCGCGAATATTTGTTTTAAGTTTTTCAGTTTCTCGAATGAAAATTACGCCAAACAAAAAAATCAGGCGAACGTGAGCTTTAACTAAATGAACTCTTGCTGTTATGGTAACATATAGCCTTAATGACCACTTGAAATAAATACTCTGACGTCTTTCCCTTTAAAATTTCATAATCCACATGGAAGTACGTGATCTCATTTCAAGCTTTGACAATACAAGCTGGTGTAGATGATTTCGCAGAAAAAAGTACTGATAACAAATGCATATAATCACTGGAACACACTTCGTGAATTTTGCGGCTTTTTAGTAGCTGGGGCCCGTTTCTCGAAAGTCCCGATAATTAACCGGCTAGTAAAGCTGTTGATGCTTACATGTAAAAAAAAAGTTTCAATAGTTTTGCGTCTAACATGATAAAACTACCAGTTAATGAAACAAAATGGACTACGGTAAAATTTCGAAAATAAGCCCCTCCAAATATAAGCCCCCGGGGGGCTTGTACTGTAAAACAAAGCAAAAACGGTAAATTTACTTCCAACTATAAGGCTTGCCCAATCGATTTCGAAACACAAATTTCCCTCCGTAGAAAAGTCCCTCAAAAAGGGCCTTTGAAAAATATAAGTCCCGGGGATTCATGATAGCCTGCGTGGCAGGCGTTCGAAAGGGAAGGGGAAGGGAATTAGGGCGCGAGACGCGCGCCCGAATTCCCCTTTTCCCTTCCCCCTTTAACGCCTGCCACGCAGGCTACGGGGCTTATTTTTCGGAATTTTACGGTATTTTGCTAGCCAGACCTACCCGCGCTCTTACTATTTTTATTTCGATTTGAATATTTGATTTCGGCGCCCGAAAAGTTATCGGGACTTTAGAGAAAGGGGTCCCCTGCCCCTTTTTTACAAATTTCGCGTCACAATTAATGGAAGGACAGTTGCAGTTCTAGGAAACTTTTATTAAAAAGGGGGTCATATCCGCAATATCTCTGGAGCACCTTTTATTTAGAACTTCAAATAGATCAAAACAAAGTAGTTAAACCGGAGTACCACGCGGAAGTGTTTCCATATCCAGGAAATGTTTATAATCCTAAAGTGTCTTAATTAATTCTGAGAAATGCCTTGAAAAAATTCAAATTATTCATCACTCATGAGTTACTGTAGACATGTGACCATGGAGACCGTAAAAAGACTGGCACGTGGGCTCAACTATAATTGCAACAGCTATTTCAGGAGGTTCCATTTCAGGAAGTGGTTGACTGTTCTCAGAAGTGTGTCCAATTCTAGGAATTGTTTATTCTGTCGTTGTTGTGAATCAGCAAGTCCACCAATTTTTCGTACTTTTAAAACTGAACAAGTACTCCAATGGCAGCTGTAGAAGGTAAAGGTGAATCGCCAGATTTTTCGCAACCATGGAAATTTAGCGATGTCGTCCTGGTGGTTGAAGATAAGAAACTTCATGTTCACCGAGCTGTGCTTGCGTTGTGCTCTCCCGTTTTCGAGAAGATGTTTACATCCGAATTTCAAGAAAAAGGCAAGAACGAGATTTCTCTTCCAGGTAAAAAAGCAAATGAATTGATCCAGTTGCTTCAGATCATTTACCCTTCTGTATCAGAGAAGCCAACCGATCAAATAAAAGAGGAGAATTGTCGCTTTTTGTTACAGCTTGCGGATGAGTACCAAATGGATGCTATTGTTCGGAGATGCGAAGATTACATTGTCACTACGTTGAAGAGAACGAGAAAAGGAATAATTGAAGAGCTGATATTTGCTCAGACATACAACTTACAGAAGCTGAAGCGGACGAGCATTGAACTGGCTAAAGATCTTAGCCTTCAAGAACTCAAACGTAACAAATTATACGGCAAAATCAATGCAGAGAACCTGCAAGGAATTTTGGAAGAAATAATAATCCGGCTTGAGAAAGAAGTGAGCTCATTTAAAGGTCAGAAGCGTTCGGTACGCGAGTGGACAGATTGGTAGTAAACTTTAAAAAAAATAATACTTCACTGAAAGTAAGTAAATCTGTACTCTTGAATCGCAAGGTTTTTTCAACAAAACGTTGACAAAGAAATGACCGTAAGAGCTATTGTTTTCAAGTTCCTGGGAGAACTGTATATTTGCGCGAGCAACTGAGGCAAATTATGGGAGTCGATAGTTGAAAGTAAAATTCCTAAATTATATCAAACGAATTGCATATAAATGCAAATAAATAATATTTGTCTTTGTATATGGTAGAAATATTCCTTTTTGTTCTAGCCAGTTTACGGGTACCTCACTCAAAACAATTGCGGCAAGTTAAATGATCTAAACTTAATGAAACATAACCATTGCTAAAAGCTCCTAGCTTGTAGGAGGTAACCAGTTCGCTCTTTGCAAGCAAGGCTGAGAAGTTAAACTTAGGATTGCCGAGAACGAATCGTGCTGGTGATGTGAGCGGGTCTCGAGCGCGGGACAGTGGGATTGCTAGTCCAACATGCTGACCACCTAGCAAAGCAGACACCCCCAACTACCCTTAATGCCGTAAATATTACGTTCTCAAAACAGATAACCGATGAGCAACACAAATATATCTCTGAGCAGTCAAGTCGTGTAATAAAGAAAAAGCGCAGTTTTATGGCCTATTTACAAGTGTAAACAACTTCGAACGGCTCTATAAAAATTTGAACAAGCAGATATAATATCTGTTCCAATTTTATCCGTTCGTTACCAAAAAATGATCTACAAGCGCCCATGTTCCGATTACAGAATAGAAGGCCTGAAAATCAAATGTGGCATCACCAACAAAACAAGCAGTTATCGCCTGACCCAAAAATATGTCTATATTGCTGGCTAGACTATTAAGACGATGAGCCGGGGAATGAGTAGACGCCTTTTTCTCCTCCAATGTCCCTCCTCACCCCTCCCCCAACTCCAACCACGAGCACTCTTTAAAGAGCCCTAACTCTTTTCACCTTTTGTTTGCAAATTATGTTCCAGAATCAAAACGAACGCTACGTGTTCTCTATCTCCACCAAGTTTATTAACTTTAAAAAAGCAAGAAAGACGGCAGGGCCGAGTTGTTCAAAGCTGGGTTAAGATAACCCAGGGTTAGTGAGAGATTTGAATTACGATTTGAAAGCTTAAAAAGCATTTCAGTTTCAGTTCTTTTTGTCTACAAGTTGATGACTGGAAGCTCTAAAAATAGCAGAGAAAATTATCCGAGAAAATGCTTTTGAACCCAAGAAAAAGAAACCCGGGTTAAGCGCTAATCGGCTTTTGAACAACCTGGCCCAGGGCGCTACAATTTATTTCGAGGACACATTGTAAGAAATTCTACGTGGAACAATGGTATTTCATTCTGACTTTACAGGGAGAAGTTGATCCTTTCTTACTCCACAGTGCATTATAGAAATAATAAAAGCTACAAACAACGAACACAGCAAAGTTTCCAATGTGTCGTACACTAACTTTGGGGAGAATACACTCCAGAGGAACAGCAGGTGATACCGCTGACAGAATTCCAATGTAAGAGTGATGACGTGACACGCTTGGTAAAGAGATTCTGCAACCTATAGAAAGTAATGGACCAATGAAAAGTTCCAGGCTAAAAGATCTATCAAACGAAATAGGACGAGTCACTATCCATTAGATGCAACACAAGTGCTATAAAGTGGACTTCTCGATTAAGAGATCAGTACAAAGTTGCGTCAGTCTTCTAAAATCTATACCCAGTGAAAGGAAACAAGTTCAGTGCTCAGAGCTAGAGGATATGGTGCCTTGAGTACCCTCAGCTTTACAGAGATCATAAAATAGATCCTTTCTCCGTAGGGCGGTTGGAGAGGACCCTGGGAACGAGGCTAGCCATATCACGTGTCCCCGAGGCCTCGAGGATCCTACGTTCCGCGTCAAATTCGTTTTCGGTCCTTTGCATTTTTAATGTCAATTTAATCCCAGTTATAATTTGTTGAAATACTTCCGGGAAACACAACATAAACTTAGTCGTTTCATGAATTCACACATTGCTTCCCTGGCTCCTTCCCGAGAGGGAAGGGAAGGAAAAATTCCGCAAGCTTTTCAACAATTATGACCGGGACTGCAGCCCGAAACCAAGAAGATGTTAGATCTTGTCATGAGTGATTTGTTTTCAATTTACTTCCATGCAGGAGGTAATAACGGAGAAATTTTGATTTCCTGGAATTGTGTGTAACTCTGAGAAATGTTTACAATACTGGGATGTATTTTTAATTCTCGGAAACGCTCTTTTTAATGCTGAATTAATCATGAGCTACTGTATAGTAACCGTCTGGTGGAAATCATCAATGTTAATCGTCCTCCTTCAATGTTGTGAAATTAAGTCTGCCAAAAGTTTTTAGTATTGGGTTAACTTTTAATCCACCAATGGTAGATAAAGAAAGTAACGGTGAACCTCAAGATTTTACACAACCATGGAAATTTAGCGATGTCGTTCTCGTGGTCGAAGGTGAAAAACTCCATGTTCACCGAGCTGTGCTTGCCTTGTGCTCCCCCGTTTTCGAGACGATGTTTACGTCCGAATTTCAGGAAAAAGAGAAGAAAGAAATTTCCCTTCCCGGCAAAAAGGCTAACGAAGTGAAGGAGTTGCTTCAGGTTATTTACCCTACTGTAGAAAGGAAGCCACCCGATGAAATAAAAGAGGAAAATTGCCACTACCTCTTAAGCCTCGCACATGAATATCAAATGGCAGCCATTACTCAGAGATGCGAAGACTTCATTGTCAAAATAATGAAGGAATCTTTTTCAGTGAAAAAGGATCCGGATATCATTGCAGAGCTGGTATTTGCACAGACGTACAACTTAAAGAAGCTAAAGCAGGCAAGCATTGAACTGGCTCAAAGTCTTGCTCTTCCAGAGTTGAAAAAGCAAAAAGGTTACGATGAAATCCATTCAGAGAATCTTCAGGAAATTATGGAAAGAATGATAACACGGCTACAGAGTCAATTGACTGACACTCAGACTAAATTAAGTGAAGCTAAGCGGTCTCTATCTTATTTCCAACTGCGATAAAAGACCTCATCACACAGCACACAACGTCAATTTTTGGAAAATATCTGTTCTGTAGACGATTTGAGATCTAGAATTTTCGGAACATTTTTGTGTAAAATTTCTTGCTTGCCTGCCTCTCCAAGGATTTTCGAACATCTAAAAAATGGTATAATTGGCCATTTTAACGGATTTTTACCCTAAAAAGATCATCTAAGTAGTCTAGTGTGTTGAAAATTAAGCCTCATTGGTGGATTCCCTTTGGATTCCCTCGCAAAAAGTGGATTTCCTTCATTGCATAATATGCAGGATTCCCTCCATACGTAGTAAGTGTCTTCCTCCATATCTAATTATGTGGATAGTCGTTTCTTTTCTTTTGAAAGAACACAATAGGAACTATAGGCTTGCCTAGACTTGTCCGGTATGTAACTTGAGCCCGGTTTACCGGAATGTCTATTACACCTAGCAACGCGAGAAACGGCTTACTATATCTTATTTAGCGCTAAAAAAATCGGATACATCAACAGAACACATACACAAAGTGGTGCTGAAAAGTCTTTATTTCAATTTTGTCTGACAATTACAGAACCGTTTTTTCCTGTCTATCTCGAGGACATGAAAAACGATTAAAGTTTTGTCATTTTCACGCACTGTTAGTCAGTTAATTGTGCGAGTTCACAAGCCCAAAGTTGAATACAAATTAATTCATCTCTACAGCTAGACCCAAGGGAGCACCTTGACGTAAAAATATCATATAAACAATGGTTTTACGCAGTTTTCAATGGAATCAAACCACTATGAGATGAAGCCGCGTTTCCAAAGCTTATCATTTTCTTAAAAAATTAAATTAGCTAATTGTGTGGATAGCATGCTATTTCACTGTTTTTATGATGCTTAAAACTTCGTTTCAAAATATTTCGAAAACGCTCTCATAGAATTTGTTCAAACTTTGACGTAATTGAGGCAATTATGGCAGATACAAACTCCCTTAAGCGATTTCTTAAAAAAAACTCTTGGTACAGAGAAACACAAAGATAAATAAAAAACGTAATTGCGTCGTTACGTTGCCATGGCGACTCCGATTGCAATAAAACCCAGATCATAAAAAATTTTCATCTTTATATAATACAGTTGTGGTAACCTTTTCCCCATATGTTTACTCATGGCAACGTAGTTAATGCTCAAACTTGGGAGGTATCCCCTCCAAAAAGTCCAGTCGAGCCACCTTAGCAAGGATCAATTAAAACACGCGACTAATAATTGCTAGCATATAAAACCACAAGAGAGATACCGTTTTAAAAACTTTATTAAAAACCAATTACAAAAAGAGTCAAATACACAGCGATTTGAAATGAAAAGGAACGAATTAAAACTAATCCTTTGACTGACTATTAAAAATCCGTTTTTTGCATTCTATTTCGAGGAGTAATAAATAATCCATCCGTGTCTACACAATTTCCCTATGGACTCTAAGCCAAGAGTTCGACTTTCTTTGTTTCTTGCGCTTTGTCTTGTTCTTTGTAGTCGGTCTTTTAGCTTCATTTCTCTGTGATCTTGACAGTTCGTACACCGTTTCTTGTGTCTGTACTAGACTGCAATAGTGATTTTTTCCGGAATTATCCGCTTCACTTTCGTAAACGACGACCTCAACTGTAGGTTGCAGTTTCGCCTCTTGTAAATACTGTCTTCACTGTATGTGGTCTAACTGATGAACATCCGCGAGATGGTTAGCTAATCTGACAAGGTACTTCGCCCCTCACGATGAAATCGGACAGTTTCTGCAAACTCTCTTGTAAACCATGTTGACAGTTCGGTGACTGAACACAAATGACATCTATTTCGCAAATAGTCAGGTTATATAGAGTGTCAGAAAGGCCATAACCAGGTCTGAAAGGCCAAAACCAGGCCAAAGGGGATAAAAGGAGACAAACGGGCCATTTTTAGTCATGTGTCTTTATTTTTCTCAGACACACGCGTGGGTGTCGCGCGTCGCTAGTCACGCAAGCTCTCAACATTAGAATCATCATCTTTATTAAGACAGTGTAATCACAAATAACAGTACCTAATTAAAAAAGTTTTGATCGTGAATTAGTAATTGGTATTTCAAGTTTCAGATTTTTTTATTTATTGTACCAGTTTACTATTATTGTTATTATGATCAAGTAGCAAAAACCAACTAATAAGAGGAATGCAAAGAACAATGTGAAAGCTGGGAAGAATGCTATAAAAGTCTTGAATAACAGTAACCCCATCCAGATTAGAAAAAAGACGGTCAAGAAACGGTTCACTGATGGCAGCCTCTCGAATTTTACACGATTTGGTCATGATGCTACGAGAGAAAGAGGACTCGTACTCAAAAAAAACGCAACGTCAACTGCGTCATTATTGTTATTATGATCAAGTGAGCAATAAAACACTCTTAAAGTTTGGTTGTTTACCGTTTTTATTAAAACGCAACAATACAAAGGTTTACGAAAAATCATAACGTTCCTAGTTGGACTAGTCCTTAGCTTGTGGAATGGGCTGCTTTTGATAGAGTCGATTGAGTAAGAATTTTCGCTTATTCGCGTTCCTTTTCCTTTTCCTTTCTTTTCCTTTCAATTTCTTTTTCTTTTAACTGGTCCGCCTAGATTAGCAATTGCTATTTTGCGGGCCAGTCTATTGTAACCAATAGTCTTATGAAATAAAGTTGAAGTCGATCGCTAGTTCTGTCGATTCCAACCAATCGAATTCTTCTGTATCTTTTAGTTCTTTTTGTGTTTCAATCACTTTTTTGAAGGAGGGATCTTTTTTCATTGCACGCATCCACTGTAGATTCTCTAAGGGTACTTTTTTTAGCTCTTTTCTGTAAACAGGAAGAAGAGCGTTCTCGGCTTTCACGCGCGCCACATTTTCTGAATCTCCGTTCCCTTCGTACTCATTGATCAATGCGTTGAGCTGGGTCTTATGGCGTTTCTCGGCTTCATCAAGAATGCGTAACCAAGGCGCTAAGTTTTCTGTTTCTTCTTGGGAAGACTCCGTTCCTTGGCTAGAGACTTCGCTTTCTTGGGAGAAATCGCTTTCTTCGCTGTCTTCATAGTTTCCAGCACCTTGTTGAAGATTGTAATGGTGGTTGTTCCACATTTCTTTGGTTTGAACCGCACGCGTGCTAATAGGAAACTAAACTTCAGAAAGCAACGCGTCTCTTTTAAGCGTTCTCCTTCCTTAATAATAATCGATCTTACATCGACCCACATCTGCCAAACCAAGGCCAAACGAAGGTAAAAAGGGCCAAAACCAGGACAATCGGGCCAAGTTTTGTAATACTTTCTCTTCAGTCTATGTATCTTTGGAAAATAGGTTTCTAGACGGCCCCATCACACCAATACAACTGGGACAACTGTACCCTTCTACGGTGTCTCCTGGTCTCTTGCTTTGTAAGTAACGACGACAATCTTGACAGAGCATTATATAACGGAGGCCATCGTTGTCCAGGCGAAGGGCTAAACATTTATCTTTTAATTCGTCACATGTAATATACTCCTCTTTTACGCTCTTTTAAACGATGTATTAATCATGAACCATTGTATGAAAACAATCTAGGAAACCGTAATCGCCCTAGCCTCCTTGTTGTGAAATTAAGTTTGCTAAAAGTATTTATCATTCAGTTAAGGTAATTCGCCTATGGCAGACAAAGAAAGTAACGGTGAATGGCAAGATTTTACACAACCTTGGAAATTTAGCGATGTCGTTCTCGTGGTTGAAAGTGAAAAACTCCATGTTCACCGGGCTGTACTTGCTTTTCGTTCCCCCGTTTTCGAGAAGATGTTTACGTCCGAATTTCAAGAAAAAGAGGAGAAAGAGATATCTCTTCCGGGCAAAAAGGCTAACGAAGTGAAGGAGTTGCTTCAGGTTATTTACCCTACTGTAGAAAGGAAGCCACCAGAGCTAATAAAAGAGGAAAATTGTCACTACCTCTTAAGCCTAGCACATGAATATCAGATGGCGGTCATTGTTGATAGATGCGAGGACTTCATTATCAAAGTAATGAAGACTCGGAAACCAAATAAAGATGTCATAGCGGAGGTGGTATTTTCACAGACATACGACTTGAAGAAGTTAAAGAGGGCAAGCATTGAACTGGCTCAGAATCTTACCCTTGAAGACTTGAAAAATGATCAGGTAGTCTATGATCAAATCGAGTGACAGAATCTTAAGGAAATTATGGAAGGGATGATAAAGCGGCTACAAAGTCAATTAAATCAAGCTCAGCGGTCTTTATCTTACTACCAGAGACGGTAAAGACATTTTAAGAGACTTCTGGCTGGACTAAAATTTACATGTACACATTTTCAGGTGATGAAATTTTGACAGTACAGTAAACTTACCAAACACCCGCGTATAAGACCCCGATAGGTTAAGAAACAGGGAGCACCCAACAGCTGTTTTCTGTAAAATATCTCGTCGGAGAAGCAAATATCGCCTAGAATTTTCTATTACCTGAGGACAGTTAAAAATTTCTAGCTGACCGTTCCATTCATGTACAATTTTCTTAGCCTCCCACGCAGACGTTCTTCGGCATTTGTCACGCAATCACCTTCCCCACAGGAACGCGTGACGAACCCCAAAGAACGTCTGTGTGAGAGGCTACAATTTTCTAAGCTTATCTTATAAATTAGTTCCTTACGATTTTCTGAAAATTAATTTCAACATTTTACTTCCTACGTTTCTAAGGCTATTTTTCGTAGAAAATAGGGTACCTAACGATTTCCTGATCATTTGAAATATGATGGCGAGATCGAGTGAATCAGAAATTATGTCTCACTTTCGTAATACATAAATAAAATTCTTGGGAAAAAAATATTGAAGCCCTTGCAATTTCGTCAAGACTCAATTTCCCCTTGGATGACCGAGCAGATATAAATTTTGTGCATTTCGGAGGCTAGAGTTTTAAAAGTACTCTTGATAGCCTCAAAATGGCTGAATTGGGTTCCAATTGAAGACTTGAGATCAGGCCCAATTCGCGACTCGTCGCTGCTTCGCGGCTCGCTCTCTCTTTCACGAAGAAAAATTTCAAGAAAAACCTCTGAGACCAGGGTACAGGTTATCTAAAACTGTTTCTGACAAACTAACATATCTTTATAAGATAATGGCCACATGAGTACTTTTCTCTCCATTTGTTTAATATTGTAGAAAAACGTGTATGAAATAGCTCGACATATTTGTTATACTGAACTTAGAATTTATTTTGTATATATTATTTTGAATTATTGCAGCATTCTGTGAGTCTGTTGAGGGTTGCATTTTGAATTGTAATAGAGAGTTATTAAGAAACTTATTTCATATACTCAAAGGCTGTGTACTTACGATTGAGTAAATATTTGAAGCACATTTCTTTATAACTCTTTCGTTATTATTTGTCATTTTTTTAAAAAGTGCTTCAGTTTCTCGAATGAAAATTAAACAATAAATACTCTGACGTTTTTCCCTTTACAAATTCATAATCGATATCATATGGTCATCATATGAAAGTACGTGATCATCATTTAAGCTGGTAATACAAGGGGTTTACTTATCGTTGCCTTGCAGAAAAATCGAAAAATATACTGATAACAAATGTAATAACTGGAAAACACTTCGTGATCTTGCGGCTTTTTAGCAGCTGCCCTTAGTTACAAATTTCCTATCATATCAACTCTGTTACGATAATTCTGGGATCAGGCAAAAGATCAGGCCGAATTTTACCAGATTTCATTACTCTCCCTTTTCAGTCGATCCAGTTTCGCCTTATCGCAGGAAATTTATTTCATAGTATCAAAGCCAACGAAACAGAGCCTGGTCTCAGACTATTAATAACTTTGCTCAGAACTAGCCGCTTAAAATATGCGTTAGAAAAAGTGATACTTGATAGAGGTCCAAGCAACCGAGAAAGAAGCAAATGTGATTTTTAAAAAAAACACTCCTGACGACTTAAAACATGTTAAAAATGATCGCTTTAGGAATAAGAAAATACATTCCGGGTATATCAGAAAAAACTAACGACGTGGGAAGCACAACTGTAGGCCAGAAACAGCTCCCAGGTTCACGGGAATGAAAGAAAAGAAATCATGTTTTTATTCCTCTCAGCCTTGGGGAAAGCCGAAACTAGTGTAAAGTTTTATTAGTAACCAACTGTTTCCCAGCGATTCTTTCTATTTTCACTCGCTCCATCCTCGTCCCCCTGCGCCTTCTGTCCCAGTTTTAAGGTGATGTTCACAAGTGACGATTCGCAACAACGATTGCTAGCGCAAAATAGAGTTGCGACATCGACTGTATTGTTTTGAATAGTAACAACATTGTTCCAACATTGCAACGCTGTGGTGCGTTAAAAATCGTCGTTGCGAATCGTATTGTGTAATATCACCTTCAGCCAGCAGTGGGCAGACGAGTCGCCTTCAAACACGTTTCCATCCTCGGAGACCCAGGGGCAGTTAGTGGAACCGAGGGAAAGCCTAAACGGGCGGAAAAAATGGCGCGAGAAAAGTCCCACGTCCCTACTATCTGCCCTGCCGCTTCCGAGGATGCAAAGTTCCCTATACCAACTGGTAATGGCACATCGACTGAGCAATCAGTCAGTCAGAAAAGAGTATTACCACTAACTAACAAGAGTAACTCTATAATGGTGTCTTGGATCGAAGGTAGATGCAATTCCGCATACAGCCCTGTTAAATCCAAGACCCTTTTTGGATGGACAGATGCAGTTCTAAGAAACTTTTTAAAAAAGTGGGTCATATCCGCAACAGTTAACCCTGGAGACCTTGAGAAATTTAAGTAGATGAAAACCTCCCAAACAAAAAGAAAGTCGCGAACCCGGAATTCCGGCCCGCGGAAGTGTTCCCATTTCCAGGAAATGTTATAATCCCGGTCCCGCAATCATCACAAATGCGTTTAAATTAATTTTTCATGGGCCACTGTACACATGTGACCACGGAATCGAAATAGCAAAAATGACACGGGAACAATCTGTTCTCGGAAGCGTGTCCAGTTCTAAGAAATGTTTATAATGATTTTATAAAGAATGTGACAAGTGCTTTTGAATTAGTTATTCATTTGCCACGTAGACTTTGTACGTACCAAGTTACTGGATCTTTCTTGAATTGAAGTGACTCTCCCAATGGCAGGTGTTGGAGGTAACTACGGTGAATCGCAAGACTTTACGCAACCATGGAAATTTAGCGATGTCGTTCTGGTGGTTGAAGACCAAAAATTCCATGTTCACCGAGCAGTGCTTGCTGTATGCTCCCCTGTTTTCGAAGAGATGTTTACATCCGAATTTCAAGGGAACGGCGAAAAAGAGATTCTAATTTCCGGCAAAATGGCGATTGAAATAATGGAGTTGCTTCAAATCATATACCCTTCCGTAGAAGAGAAGTTAACAGAGGAAAATTGTCACCGCCTGTTAAGACTTGCAGATGAATATCAAATGAAGGCTATTGTTCAAAGATGTGAAAATTTCATTGTGAAAATGATGTACAAGTCGAAAAAAGATCCCCTTGTAGAGCTTGTATTTGCACAGACATACAACTTACAGAAATTCAAGCGGGTGTGCATCAACCTAGCTACATTCCTTAGCCTGGAAGAGTTGAAAAATCATAATGTATATGATCAAATCCATTTTGAGAATATAAAGGACATTATGGAAGGAATGATAGGACGGATACGGTCAGCGAGAGCCGACCCTTGGAGTCAGACCTGCGGCACGGCAGCTAAAGCCGTTACTCTCCCAGTGGCAGGTGTAGGAGGTAACCAGGGTGTATTTCAAGACTTTACGCAACCATGGAAATTTAGCGATGTCGTTCTTGTGGTTGAAGGCCAAAAACTGCATGTTCACCGAGCTGTGCTTGCTGTATGCTCCCCTGTTTTCGAAGAGATGTTTACATCCGAATTTGAAGGGAATGGCGAGAAAGAGATCCCAATTCCCGGCAAAATGGCGAGTGAAATAATGGAGTTGCTTCAAATCATATACCCTTCCGTAGAAGAGAAGTTAACAGAGGAAAATTGTCACCACCTGTTAAGGCTTGCAGATGAATATCAAATAAAGGCCATTGTTCAAAAATGTGAAAATTTCATAGTCAAAATGATGAATTTGAACGGGTTGAGAAAGGAGGTCCTTGTAGAGCTGGTATTTGCACAGAAATACAACTTACAGAAGCTCAAGCACGAGAGCATTAAACGAGCGCAATGGCTTACCCTTGAAGAGTTGAAAAATGATGGAGTCTATAATCAAATTCATGAGGAGAATGTAAAGGAGATTATGGAAGGAATGATATTACTGCTACAGAACCCTCCGAACGTAATCCCCTTCTTCAGACCTCAGTATTCAGCTGTGAAAAAACGTTAATTTGCGAAGATTTCACACATTGCCTGTTCCACTTAGAAATTTTCAAAAGTTTAGACTTTTTGAAAAACAACATTAAGTTGAGAACGCTTAAATCGCGAAATTTAATGCCCTTTTTTCATATCATCTGTAGAAAAATAAAACTTCGCGAATACTGTCTTGCAATCGCGAAATTAAGTACCAGTAAGTTTACTGTTCTAATTATAAAATTTGATATTGCTCAAGATTTTGCTCAATATGGGTTAAAAGAGAAAAATGAATACAAATACTAGATGAACGTTACATATGCGAGATTTGATTACATAGAAAACAGAAAATGATAGGCTACTAAAAAGATAAATGCCACAAATCAAGAGAGAATGCACTAATTGAGTTCATCACGTCTATTTATACCACGGGATTCTAATGTCAAAGATGTTTTCGCAGGCTAGATGAGGTGAGGCTTGCGTGCCTTTCTGAGTCACGGTTACTGTGGATTAGTTCTAAGGGAATAAAAATGACGTCGTTGATAGAGTGGTCGGCTTGATTAAACTGTTCAGAGACAGGAGTAGAATTCTACTCTCGGTTTTTCCCTATCACTCTTTCTGCCGTAAGAATCAGTTTACTGTTTTAATTTTAAAATTTGGTATTGAAGATTTTACTGATCTAGGTGTACTATTAGCCTGCGAAAACATCCGTTTCTCCTCGCTCTTCGCCGCTGGGGAAATTTCACCTGCTGGGGAAATTTCACCTTGTTTAGTCGTCACATATCGGATAGGTTCTTTGCCATACTCTGCTGCAGTGAACAGGGCGCTTGTGGACCCTTTTTGGCAAAAAAGGGTAGAATTTCAACGGGTCAAGTACCATTTAAAGAGAAACATTTACAAACAAGCTTCCTTAATATAACTGATATCTTTTATAACATGCATTACTTTTTTATTAAAGCCTTAATCTCTTACTGTCATTTGTTTTGTCACCTTTTTGTCGTTGGAAAAACCTTGAAAATTTGAAAATAATACAGTTCTTATGATACCTTTACAAGTGAAGAATAATTTAGGCTATGTTCATACTATACTGGATAGTTTTTTGTGCTGACACGAAAAGCTATAAACTGGAGCAAGTCGTTCACCCACATTAAACGGTTGGTCGAGAGGATTTGGTGAACTAAATCCCACTCCTCACTCCTGAATATTTCCTTTCGTCTCTGTGGATTCCCGCGGTCCTCGCTCCTACTTATTCACTTCTTCTCCGATCCGAATAGCATGCTCCCCTTTCGGAACGGAAGACTTGAAAATCAAAGATGGCATCTCAAGCAAAAACAAGCAATTATCGCCAAAATATACGCCGACACTGCAGGCTAGGCCACAGGCAGCCCAAGCTTAGTACGAGAGTCAATCATTAATACGTGTGGTGTCATATTGCGTAATCCTCAAAATGCCGTGATTATAAGGGATGGGGGGTGGGATGGGAAGAGGGGAGAATTTTCGAGCCGCAGGAATTTTTTTACGTCATAAAATTCCTGGTATGAATTTTGCAGGGTTAATTGGCGTGCATGAATTTTTTTTCATTTAATTTTCACTTTTACGAATATGTTTTTTGTGCTTTCGCGTCGTTGAATCTTAACGTCCCTAATAAAAGCACGTACATAACGAAATTGAAGCAATTATACGTGTGTTGTCTGATTGCTGAACCCGCAAAATGCAGGGGTTATAAGGGATGGGGGGTGGGATGGGAAGAAAGGAGAATTTTCGTACCGCTAGAATTTTTTTACGTGATAAAATTCCTGGTATTAAATTTGCAGGGTTAATTGGCGTGCAAGAATTTTTTTTCTTTAAATTTTCCCTTGTTCGAATATTTTTTTTGTACTTCGCTCGCCCGCCCCCCCCCCCCATAAGTTTTCTAATGGTCCTTCCCTAAAGGATTTGTGCGGAAAGTAGTGGAAACTCGGTCGTAAAGGAAATCGCTTAAATCGCAGCGGGTTGGAAAAAAAAAAACACACACACACACACATGAACAGCAAGCAAGGCCAAATTACGATCGAAATCAAATGAATATTACATGTCCTTTATCTCCATCACGTTTGTTAACTTAAAAGCAAAAAAACGACAAAAGCGCAAAAAAGTATTGGTATTTTATTCTGACTTTGAAACGTACTATACAAATAATAAAACTCAGGCATGTTAAGGCATGGGTCACCTCCTAATTTGCATAATTTGGCAAAGTGGCATTTGAAACGGATTGTTTTGATCAGTCGTCATGAAACTTGGCAAACAGTTTTAGCTCGGAGGCCTTAACAATATGTGACATATTCATTGTTGAAATATTGGTTACGTGACCTGAAAATGATCGTTAACGTTCAAAGTTTTCAAATTAAAACGGCGGAAAGGAATGAAAAAGCAGCAAATATTCTTAGGCACCAGTGTTTTTCCCTTGGCCTGGATATTATGAAATAGCCCTGCATGTATGCCTAAGTGGAGCAACGATTACGAAATAAGGAAAAGCAGGTCACGTGACTTATAAAATACTTTAATAACTCTTAATAAAAATGCTTTAATCCACGTTGCAAGGTTAATTGACAATCCAGACAGTTTTGCTGACAATTTGATGACAAGTATTTTTAGGCTGAAGCTTAACAACCTTGCCCTATTTGAGAAAACAGATTTTGTGACGTCATGGTCTAAGGATTGTCACGTGACGCTTGGGATGAATTTTCCAAAACTATTATAGTGAGATATGTCTTATCATATCTTTGTGGATCCCTTTACTTGGATCCTTCTGTGTCATCAAAGAGGATCTTTGCATTCTTTGTGGGGGGTCTTTTTAGCCTTTCAACCCACGCCTTAACTTGCCTGAGAAGTAAAAAACAAAGAAAACAGTAAAGTTTTCAAAGTTTCGTAGTAACTTCGGCGAGAATACACTCCAGACGAATAGGTGATACCGTTAACAGAATACCAATGTACAGTAGACACAAAGGACTAGAGACTGGCAGAGAGTGATGACGTAACACGCTTGGTCAAGAGAATTATGTAACCTATAGAAAGGAATGGAGCAATGAAAAACTAAAAACTTCAAAACTAAAAGATCTATCAAAAGAACTAGGAAGAGTCACAATCCATTAGATACAACACGGTGCCAATATATACCTACGATTCCCGGGGGTTCACGCCAAACAATTGAGGGAAGGGGGTCCGCCGCATATCTTTTGCAACCAATAAATCATCCGTTTCAGACCTACGCATCTGTCTCAAGAACAGTAAATGAAGGTACACAGTTGCTTTTTCTAAAATCTATACCCAGTTTCATTCCAAAACTACCCTGGGTACGAGAGGGGTTTTTCTTGCGTGTGGCAGGTCGGTGTTTTGGTGCGTGACACAGGCCGACAGATGAAAAGTTTCTGGCACCCAAGGTAGACCAAACGGCCCATAAATTACACCCTTCTGCGCCGCCCAAACCTGAATGGCTTAAACCTGGAAGTGCCCCAGAGCTACGTTTAACTGGTAATTTCATATTTTCAGCGAGATAGCCGAGGACTTTGGCAAAGAAGGCCCTTGACTGCTGTTGTTATTCCCTGATTTTTTTTTTATCTCAGTCTTACTAAGAAAGGTCCTTGATCTCATGTCAAGTGAAGCGATTTGAAAGTAACTTAGCCTTCCTTACTTCATTCGTAGCGTTTTGTATTACAGACAAGATTCCAGCCATCGGCTAGAAGCAAGGATCGCAGTAGGTTGCTACATATGTGAGGGGGACCATAATACAGGGTACGAAATCCTCTAGCCCGACATAGCCCGCAGAAATATCCACCGAAGCCAGGCTGTTTGAGTTCCCTATTGAAAAGTACATAGCATGGCCCATCCACAAGGAACTTAACGTGACAATCCACGACTTCTCTTTGCTACGGAGAAAATGTAATAAACAATAAGAAATTACAAAACAGCAAGAGTTCATGATGTAATGAGAAAACTTGTCAAATCTTAAAGCAAGATTAACTGAATCAATTTCCTTCACAAGCGACAGAGTTTCGTGACGGAGTCTTATAAAGAATTCAAACCTCACCCATAAAAAAAACAAGATGTTGAAGGGACACCAAAGTTATAACATTCCAAAATCAAACAAGAAAGTGTTGCGCATCATTTCAGTTTTTTTGGTGCGTTTATTGAAAAATTGTCACTTAAGATTGCTAGATACGCCAAAAAATAGTTTTTTTTCAATTGCTTTGATGTTGACCTTCAAAAATGCATCAATTTACCCAGGGGGAACTCAACAAATATTTATAAGGGGAGGCTCCCTAGACATGGAGCTGAATGACGTTTATAACTTTTTCAAAGGCTATTTTTCCACAGAATAATACATTCATCTCTGAATTAAGACCGTTTGGTGGTATATATATATATTTTCATGCTAGCAGAAATGTTGTGTGAAGTCCACAAAGAGTTGGTAAATGCTGCACGAAGGAAACCAAGTTCAGTGCTTAGAGCTAGAGGATATGATGCCATGAGTACCCTCAGCTTTACAGAGATCATAAAAGAGATCCAAACTCTTCAGTCCCACAGTTTTCAGTTTCCTCTTTCCGTAGGGTGGGTAGGAGAGGACCCTGGAAACAAGGTTGGCCATATCACGTGTCCCCGAGGCACTGAGGATGCTACGTTCCGCGTCAAATTCGTTTTCGGTCCTTTGCATTTTTAATGTCAATTTAATCCCACTCATAATTTGTTGAAATACTTCCGGGAAACACAACATAAACTTGGTCGTTTCATGAATTCACGTATTGCTTCCCTCCGGCCTCTCCTTCCCGAAAGGGAAGGGAAGGAAAAATTCGCAAGCCGAAGCGTTTCACTAATTATGACGGGAATGCAGCCCGAAACCACATGAAAAAGATGTTAGATCTAGTTATGTGTGACGCGTTTTCAATTTACTTCCAGGAGGTAATAACGTAGAAATTGTGATTTCCGGGAATTGTGTGCAACTCTGAGAAATTAACAATTAATGAATGAGGCTGAGTATCGTATGAAGAATTATGGACGGCCGAGGCGGATAACACCCTCCAACATCTCCATAATTCTTCATATGATACGAAAGCCGAATTCAATAATTGTTTTATTTTTCATTCAAAATAATTCCTAGTTTAAAACAAAGCTAAAACATGCTTACCTCCATCGATGTTAAGTTCACCTTCGATAGGGTTGTTCAGCTCCGCAAATACTTCTCCAAACAACTCAACCTCGTCCCCAGGTCTTCTCGGTTAACGGTGGCTTAACCTGCAAGAACGTTGCATTTTTGACGTCATTTCCTCGTTGAACATAAAATTCTTCCAAATTTAGTCATCGGTAACTGGTTATGGGTGTGCTTTTAGCCAATCAGAATCTGGGAAATGAATAATAATATGAATGAATAATAATTTTAGGTAATGTTTATAATACTGGGGTGCATTTTTAATTCTGGGAAAAGCTCTTTAAAACGCTGAATTAATCATGAGCTACTGTATAATAGCAGTCTGGTGGAAATCATCAAAGTTAATCGTCCTCCTTCAGTGTTGTGAAATTAACTTTGTAATCCGCCAATGGCAGATAAAGAAAGTAACGGTGAACGGCAAGATTTTACACAACCATGGAAATTAAGCGACGTCGTTCTCGTGGTTGAAGGTGAAAAACTCCATGTTCACGGAGTTGTGCTTGCCATGCGCTCCCCCGTTTTCAAGAAGATGTTTACGCCCGAATTTCAGGAAAAAGAGAAGAAAGAAATTTCCCTTCCCGGTAAAAAGGCTAACGAGGTGAAGGAGTTGCTTCAGATTATTTACGTATACCGTACTGAAGAAGGGAACCCGCCTGATGAACTGATAAACGAGGAAAATTGCCACTACCTCTTACGCCTCGCACATGAATATCAAATGGAAGCCATTACTCAGAGATGCGAAGACTGCATTGTCAAAATAATGAAGGATCCGGATATCATTGCAGAGCTGGTATTCGCACAGAAATACAACTTAAAGAAGCTAAAGCAAGCAAGCATTGAGCTGGCTCAAAGTCTTACTCTTCAAGAGTTGGAAAAGCAAAACGATTTCGATGAAATCGATTCAGAGAATCTTCAGAAAATTATGGAAGGAATGTCAAATAAGTGAAGCACCTCATCAGATTTCTGGAGCATCACAACGTTAATTTTTCTTTTTAGGGGCATCCAACGGGAAATTTTGAAATTTTGACTTAAAAACAACAACAAAGCATGATTAAAGTTTTCTGAAGTCATTTTAAGCATTTAGGGAGATTGCTGGGGAAAATTTTATCTGTTCTTTACTCCCAACAAGACTGATGGAAGAGTTCCCAGCCAGCATGGTGCACCTACAACCTGCAATCTGACTTACTGGAAAGTTTCGCAGCAGACTTATCTCCAGATATTACGGACCAGTTTGGTTGTGGCCAAAGGACATAATTCAGACCGTAAGTGGGAGGGGAGTGAGGTTTAGGAAAGATCGGTGTGGCAAAAAGGGCGACATTTTCGCTTTCAGTGAAGGAGGGGCGGAATTTCTGACAAAAATCTACGTCACCTATTCTAGACATCAATTCCCCTCAGACACCAACAATTATCTTTATTTTTCCCAGCAAAACTTTCCGTCCCGGAACATATAATTTCTTCTAAATCTTCCAGCCTGCAAAAATTGGCCTGAAGAGTAGATATTTTGAGGAACAGATCCATTGGATGCCCCTGTTTTTCATTTGCATGTACTTTACACTGAATAAATAAAATACCAGTTTTAGCCCGTGGGGGAGGTACTCATGGGTGCCTTGATCGCCACTTAGTTCACAGGGCACCAAGACTTACAGCAGCCTACTGGAAGCCAAATTATAGGGATTTGGATAGGGAACCTACACTCTTATTTGTAAACTGCACATTGATCATTAAATGGGAGATAAAAAATTACCTGTTCTGTTCTTGAATCTGTTGCGAGGCAAAGTGAAATGGAGTGGGTATTTATAAGAAATTGTTCGTTTAAGTGAAAAGAACAATTTCTAATGAATACCCACTTGCCGTCTTAGTTAAATAAAACAAAGGATTAAGCGAAAGTCTTGCTTCGAGTTGCTTCGAGGAACGTTCATCCATGACAGCCTTTAGACACTAATCGCCTTTCTTTCGATTATTACTCTTTTCCATAATTCGATCCTTGAATACCGCTTGAATCAAGTTTAATGCGCCTTTTTTTGTAATTTTTTTACCTTTGCCGTAAAAATTAATAATTACGAAAGAGTTCAGCAAAGAAGATGGTTGTCTGATCATCGAAATCGAGCCCGAGTTAGCCTTTTTTAAAAAAGGTTTAAGGTGTTCTAACGTTTATAATTTGTAGTCTATGAAGTCTATCGCACATGTTTCAGTGAATGCACCCCTGAGCAACTGTGTAGGTTTAAGCAATTTATAGTACAAGACTCAGAGTAAGTGTTGTCCTAGGTCAGTCTTCATAGAAAACGACGGTCCCTCTAATAATATATATATTTTTTTATCAGATTCTGCATTATGCATAAGTGCACGTTTTTAAAGCTGAATTTACACATAACTGGGACCGATAGAAAGAAAAAAGAATTAACTTACGGCGAACACAGAAGTCTGCCAGAATCACAATTTCTCCGTTATTACCTCCTGGAAGTAAATTGAAAACGAGTCGTCACACCTAACCACGGTGGGCGTATAGGACGCAAAATATTACGAGGTAGAAACTACTTTTGCATTTTTTATTCATTTGAGCTCAAACTTTGTATTCCAAAAAATCCTATGTTTTTTGTTATTTTTTTATTTTGCTGTCAATCTTGTGACGTCATTTTCTCGCCAATAAACGTTAAAATCGAAAAACAACAAACATAGGATTTTTTGGAATACAAAGTACCATCCTGCAAAGTTTGAGCTCAAACGAATAAAAAATGCAAAAGTAGTTCCTATCCCGTAATATTTTGCGTCCTATACGCCCACCGTGGTTATGTGTGACGACTCGTTTTCAATTTACTTCCAGGAGGTAATAACGGGGAAATTGTGATTTCCTGGAATTATGTGCAACTCTGAGAAATGTTTATAATACTGGGATCTATTTTTAATTCTGAGAAACGCTCCTTTAAACCCTGAATTAATCATGAGCTACTGTATAATAACCGTCTGGTGGAAATCATCAATATTAATCGTCCTCCTTCAGCGTTGTGAAATTAAGTTTGCCAAAAGTTTTTAACATTGGGTTAACTTTTAATCCGCCAATGGCACATAAAGAAAGTAACGATGAAAGGCAAGATTTTACCCAAGCATGGAAATTTAGCGATGTCGTTCTCGTGGTTGAAGGTGAAAAACTCCATGTTCACCGAGCTGTGCTTGCCTTGTGCTCCCCCGTTTTCGAGACGATGTTTACGTCCGAATTTCAGGAAAAAGAGAAGAAAGAAATTTCCCTTCCCGGTAAAAAGGCTAACGAAGTGAAGGAGTTGCTTCAGGTTATTTACCCTACTGTAGAAAGGAAGCCACCCGATGAAATAAAACAGGAAAATTGCCACTACCTCTTAAGCCTCGCACATGAATATCAAATAGAAGCCATTACTCAGAGATGCGAAGACTTCATTGTCAAAATAATGAAGGAATCTTTTTCAGCGAAAAAGAATCCGGATATCATCGCAGAGCTGGTATTTGCACAGACGTACAACTTAAAGAAGCTAAAGCAGGCAAGCATTGAACTGGCTCAAAGTCTTACCCTTCCAGAGTTACAAAAGCAAAAAAGTTACGATGAAATCCATTCAGAGAATCTTCAGGAAATTATGGAAAGAATGATAACACGGCTACAGAGTCAATTAACTGAAGCTGAGCGGTCTCTATCTTTTTATTGCGGTAAAATACCTCATCCAAAAACTCGTTAAATTGCTGGTTGGACTGGCCCGGAGGAAAATTAGTATTGCATCCATCAAGAACCAAGCAGGTCATCACAACGTTAATTTTTCTTTTTACTGTTTTTCATTTGCATGCACTTTACACTGCATAAATAAAATACCAGTTTTAGCCGAGGGGAAGGGTACACATGGGTCGGCCTTGATTTGGATAGGGAACCCACACTCTTACTTGTAAACTGCACATTGAAAATAAATGGGCGATAAAAACTTACCTGTTCTGTTTTTGAATCTGCTGCTGGGAAAAATGAAATTGAAGTGGATATTTATAAGAAATTGCTTAAAGTGAAACGAACAATTCAATGAATACCCACTTGCCGTCTTAGTTAAATTAAAAAAAGCATTAAGCGAAAGTCTTGCTTTGAGTTGCTTCGAGGAACGTTCATCCATGACAGCCTTTAGACGCTAATCGCCTTTCTTTTGATTATTACTTTTTTCCATAATTCGTGCCTTAATTGAATACCGCTTGAATGAAATTTAATGCGCCTTTTTTATATTTTCTTCATCTATGCCGAAAAAATTTATAAATACGAAAGAGTTCTCGTTTCTTCCACCGACAGACTAGTAGCTTTTCGAGCCCAAGCTACCTTTAAAAAAAAAAAAAACGGGTTAAGTTGTTCTTACTAACGTTTATGATTTGTAATCTATGAATTCTATCACACATTTTTCAGTGAATGCACACCTGAGCATCTGTGTAGGTTTAAGCAATTTATGGTACAAGACTCAGAGTATTGTGCTGCCTCTCTTCAAAGAAAACAACAGTCCCCCTGGTAATTTTTTTTAAATCAGATTCTGTTATGCATGAGTGTATTCAAAGCTGAATTCACACATAACTGGGCCCGAATGAAAGAAAAACGAATAATAAACTTACAGCGAACACAGAAGTCGGCCAGCTTTTTCTTTTAGGTCTTTTCTTTAGGACAGTATTCTATTGACTCTAACATTCGATATCGTCAACTGTAAATTGGCTACCCAAGAGCATCGTGCTTAAAAACGATTTTTTTCCTTTATATTATCAGTCATTTTCACTTAGTTACCTCGAACTCTAACTTAAATTTCACGAAAATCATTTTCCCCACCCGCGACTTTGGACCTACGACCGCGACTTTCGACCCGCGACCCGCGATCTGAGAAGATGTAGGATTTGAAATTTTCAGATGTTAGTCTGACAAAATTTGTGCCAAATTATAATTTTATGTTGGGTAAGTGAAATGATAGAAATTTGAGCTTGTTGATGTTGGGGCGTCGTAAATTTTGAATACCTTGCAATAATAAAACGTAATATACTCCACAACAACGACACTCAGAGGAGGTGTGATTTCTCGGCTTCGTTTAGTATTTCTTTGGTGACTAAAACAGAGGGGTCATATAACGAATTTATTCGTGGCATTCCTGACACCCGGGAGGAAACAAGATAAAAGAGCGAGGCAGAACCAACCAAAAGAACGAGCTAACAGAGAAAATTAAGGTAAAAGGATCATGTAACAGTGATAAAAACTCAACTCTTATTTTCTTTCAGCATAAAAGCTTACAAATTTCATTCCTAGAAGTAATCATAAAATCACGAACATTAAGTCATCCTGATAACAAAACAATTTCTTCATTCAGATTTCTGCAAGCTAAGCCGCTCCGTTCTTACTCCGAAACACGTCAGACAAATAACGGAAATAGAAAACACAGAGCACAGCAAAGTTTTGGTTGTTTCATATAGCAACTTCGGCGAAAAGACACTCCAGACGAACAGATGATACCGCTGACTAAATACTAATGTACAGTAAACACAAAGGACCAGAGACTGGCAGACAGCGATGACGTAACACGTTTGGTAGAGAGAGACCTGTAAACTAAAGAAAATGATGAATAAAACGTTCGTTAGTTTACGTTTAAAATTAAGACTCTTGAAGCAAACTGGGCAGAGCCCGACAATCTAGGTACAGTACTCATATATTTGGTAAAATTAGTTACGTTCTCATTGTCAGGGTTTTGATTTCATGTTTTGACCAGGAACTTGTGCTGGAATTTTCTCTCTACCGACCAAAGGTTTGCCTCGGGGTTTTGAGTCTTTGGAAAAAATCGTTAATGTAACCTTTCAAATCAGAGCCGAAATATGCAGCAATTTCTTTTCTAAGTCGATATGGTAAACATAATAGTTCCATCTTGTGTAGTGCTGCTGATAAAATATATCATAAAGATCAAAGTGATGTGGAGGTAAACTTGTACGCACCTCACTGCATCTCTGGTATTTCGTATTACAGACAAGATTCCAGCCATCAGCCACAGGCAAGGACCGCAATAAGTGGTTACATATGTGAGGGGGACCATAATACTGGGTACAAAATCCTCTAGCCCAACATAGCCCGCAGAAATATCCACTGACGCCAGGCTGTTTGAGTTCCCAAGGGAAAAGTACATGGCATGGCCCATCCACAAGGAACTTAACGTGACAATCCACGACTTCTCTTGGCTACGGAGAAAATGTGATAAATAATAAGAAATAACAAACATTAAACGTTTCTAATGTAATGAGAGAACTTGACAGTTATCAAAACGGCGAGATTAACTGAATCAATTTCCTTCCTAAGCGACAGAGTTCGAAGAAGTCTTTTAAGTTTCACAAAAGCAAGAATTCAAACCTCGCCCAAGATGTCAACAACAAGATGTTGAAGGGACACCACAGTGAATCAAGTACCTTTCAACTATTTTCCAAAATACAAACCGCCCTTTCAATACTTCATGGCTTGATTTCAAGTTCTTTTTTTGGACATATCATGACTCATAACAAATTCTTGCAAGGATTTAAGTATTTTGTGACATTTTACGAGTCACGTAATGTATTCTTTTGCATCTCAAGAAACCATGTCTGCATTTTAACAAATGTCGCGAATTACCTACGTATTTTCTAGCTTAAACTTATTACTATTGAAGGATAATCGAGAAGTTTTTCAACTAGAAAACAATTCATTCATTAAATACGTCATTTCCTAGTAACCCCAAGTCTGTTTCAAAGCAAGGCTTACAGTAAAGCCATTGATATGAAAACAGTGTTTTATTCTCATGCAAATAAAGCTCATTTTCGCAAGAAAGGTTTTGAACTTAACCTCGTTTTGAAAGTGTGTTTTTGGAACTTGCAAATGGCCTACTTGGCCCATTCTTACAGAGTCATATATACTGCCCCATATACCTACCTTTTCCAGAGTACTTGGCTTAATATACTTTCTTGAAGTACAAAAATAGCCAAGATGGCAGCATTGTGGGGTCGCTGAAGAAGAACTTCCAGTAACAAAAAACTAGACAGAAGTCCTTCAAGAGGTTCACATACATCACAAATATATTCCTGGAAAAGCCTCTTCTTTTCACTGTTATTTGCCTTAAATAAGAGAATTACATTCCACAACACCATGGCTATCACGCAACAATACGTCACTCGCGCTTCAATGATCCCTTTTGTGATTGGTTCGTTTGGTAACCATGGAAACTGAACATTTCCAGTGACAGCACGATAGAGGTAGGATGGCACACAACCGACGATGAACAGAGCGGAAGTGAGAATATCATGACGACCGTAGCGGAATCCAACGATAAACACAAGTGATGTAAAATAAGTTATTGACAATATTATCTTGTTTTCTGGCTTAACAAGCCAATCTCCTATATCAGGTCTATCAGCCCATTTTATTCCAGTTTGATTCCAAGCTCTGGATAGCCTTCCTAAACCAAGAAGGACGAAAACAACCAGACAATACGATAAGTCTCTATACTGCGCTTTTGCCTCTTCCCTCGAATAACAACTGTTCTCCCTCCTAATCGTTTCAGCGTTGACAAATTCTTTCCTTGAAAAAAGATCGCCTAAGTTCACGTCAGTAAAAATCACTTGGTCTTTACTCAAGCCTATGTGCGTTAAACTGTGATTAAGGGGTTTTTCTTTCCTATATCTTCCACGATTTTCACCGTCCAAGCTTTCTGACTGAGTGGTTTTTTCTGGTGTTACGTCCGACGCAACGCGAGTGTTTTTCTTACAAAATGACACACTTTTTTCAAATAAAATGATCATGAAAAATGTCGATGTAAGAAAGTACCAAGTCTGATGCTCCTCTTCAACAAAACTACTCGATAACAGGCTAAATACGTGCAGTAAAACTCCTGTTATAAGAAAGAAGTGTCTTCTGCTTTGAAAAAGAGAAGAAAAACAAGATAAAGTCCACGATAAGGATGATTTAAGGTTTGGAATGCGAAGCAAAATGAATGCGAGAGAGACTCCTGCCTGCAGCGCTACAGTCGAACTGTAAAGAAAGGATTCGAAGTTGTTCGCAGCACACATGACGTCACTTCCCCCTGAAAAATGAAGAAGAATTGAAAAAGAAGTAGTTTTTTTCATTTGAGCGACTATTTATCGTGAGGAATAGTTTGGCACGCAAACTGTCGCTTGGTTGTAGATTCACACAATTGTCCAGTAGACTACAGCGAGCAGCCTCCCTTTTTCCTCATATTATTAAAGTGAGGGGACAGCACTAGACGCGAGAAACCAGGGCGGCAGCTCCTGCCTCGCGCTTTGAGTCACGCGCGTGGTCTTTTTCGTCTCTCGCGCGTTTCGCTCGACAGGTCACGGATTAAGGAAAAAAAGCGACTGCACGCAGTTTAATTGTCCAACGCTGACCACAAGATATTTTATTTTTGTCTTTCCTTCTTAGTTCTACACTTCTAAAATGGTAGAAGTTTGGAACAGTCTGTCAAAGCAAGGATTAAGTAGATCTTTTCCCGGCCTGGCACGAAACAGCGGTCATTCGATACTTAGTTCTCACAATTAAGAGCAGTTGTCTGTAAGATTCGAGCTATATTAAAAAGGCGCTGCCACACTATCTCACCGAATTGGCTAAAAATTGGCATGTAGACTTGATTTGAGGTCTTTAATAAGGAATAGGTAACTTTAGGTTCTAATTCCTCCTACTTCGGAAATTATCGACATGGCCGGTTTTTGGGTGCCTCGGACCGGCGCCATATTGGTTAATAGAAGCTGCTTTTGAGCCTTCGACTACAACCCTGTCTTCAAAGCTAATCTTCCTTTGCCAATACAGATTGAAAGAACAATCCCTCTTTATTGTATTTTTAGAAACTACTTCGAAATTGATAACGTTTTCGCAACGATCGATTAAACTTTTGGTGGGTATACTTTTTGAATTTTTTACACCCGCAAAATTAACAGAATTTTAAAGGCGTATATCTCTTTTGCCACATCGCATTGAAGCTTGCCAATCTGCCTGAATACTCACTGTTTGTAGTTAAATCGAGTTCATTAATAAAAAAATTGGGCAAATTTAACGGAGCAGAAACAAAAGTAATGAATGGAAGACTGTTCTAGCGACTTTGTCAATAATCTGTACACCGAATACTCGCCAGGTGTTGCCAAAATTACAATCGATAATAGAGTTTCTGTCATTAAATCTGAGTGATCTGTGTAATAAAATTAGCCTCTGTAATATAATCGATAACTCTGCTGCGAAAAACAGTATAAAAAAAGGCAGATTGTATAAGGAAAAGGAAAATAAATTTGTTATGTTTATGCTATGACGCGTAAACAAAATTCAACTATCACAGTCGAACAGGAATTTTCCTGATTTTCCTCCAGTTCCTTTACCGAAACCAGAGCTTTTAAAATTAACCATAGTAATGAAAATTGAGATGTATTACCTTACTCAACGACAAAGTTGCCAGTTTCCACCTTGATCGAAAAAAAGTAATATTTTCCCACGCATATCGCGGGTCGTCACGTTCCTTGCCTGGCGTTACAACTCACGTGAAACCGCCTGGTTTCAAACAACTGAACTGAAGAATCCGTGAAAATCTTAGCCAGGCAATAAATAATGGAAGTTGATATAAGTTATCATTATTAGTGAGCGAGGATCGATGCGATGATAGTTCCAGCTACATGTATTTACAGCGTTTGAAGATTCACTCAAAACTCATGAGACATGGGCCCTTGAAATAAACATCATTACTTCCGGTTTTAAAAATTGGGCGTTGGCAAAGTAATGAATAGACTCATTCTACCTTGTACACCGTTAACAACGGTTCCGTGTACAATTTTCAGGTATTTTGTCTCAATCACGAAGCCCGTTTTGAGGAGATTCTTGATAAACAGAAAAATTGGTTTGGAAGGGGTTAAGAAGAATGAGGGATGAGCCCGGGACAACAAAAACCACAGTCACCCCACCGAAGGGCTTTAAAACTGTGCGCAAATGCCTCACCCTAGGGACAATTCCAGATTTTTGTTTCCTTGAAAAAGCTTAAAATCGCTAGACAATGCATGGACAACACAAGACAGTCCTAATTCAAAATAAAGTAAACAGCAAAGAAAATTCAGTTAGAGACCAGAGTGTTTATCCGATATCGCGAACAATAAGGAGTGATTGAAGATGTGTCTGCAGTTTAAGGTAAAATCATTTACCATGCTCACGGACCTTTCGACAACATAAGTGTACCGATTGACGTAATATCAGTGGTAAAAAACGAACGCTTTTTACTGTAGGACGATGACGTCATCATACAAAAGGCGTCTTCACTCTGGCATCCAGAATTTCAAACAGTCAAAACCTAATTTTCTCTGCTCGTCAACTGAAAAACGCCTCTGAGGGCAAGTAGTGGTAATGTGCTTGTTAGTAAGACGTCCAACATAAGGAGACATTCATAATCAACTCGGTTAATGCATTGATAAAGGGAAACTTTCTCCTTTACCCTTAGGGACAGAGTTCAAAGGCGCAAAAGATTTTTAGTTCAGCTCTAGCATGTGTTGTCTAGCGATTTGCCTTGAGCTTCTCTAAATTTTCCCGATCAAACAAGCTGTGCCCATCGTACATAATCTTGTCTGGGCTCCCTTGAAAAATTGCACTTCATCAGATGCCTTCAAGTTCATCCTCCGCCGCGACAACTTCGTGATCTATTTTAATGGGTGGTTTTCTGGAACTATCCTATGGCTTGTCCTTTCTGGTCGTCACTATATTAGCGAACATGTTTCAATTTCTCTCCAGCAAAAGTCTCTATCAGGAGCGTAGCCAGGACTTTCCAGGTGTGCGGAAAATTTCCAAAACTTACCCTAACATCTTACTCAGTTCTCTCGCAACGTTTCCCCACTACATTTGCTAATTCTGTTAACTAGGTGAGGTTATGCGTGGATGAAATGGCACTTGCAATCGGTGAGAAAATTAGGTTAGACACTTTACCCTCAAGGACGACTCTCACGTTTTGCTGACACTTTCTACCTTAGAAGAGATAAGTGAAGCTTTGCCTTCCCCACTCCGTGTAAAAAAATGTCGTTCGGCTGTTCAAACTACTTTTAGAAAACAACAAACTTCCCAACTTTAATTTTCAATAAAGGTATAAGGGTAGGAATCCAAATTGTTTTGGAGTATTTCACTGATTTTAACACGATGATTGTACAGTAGTGTCTAGTGAGTACGGGGGCTAATGCCCCATCGTAAAAATCTGAAATTGAAAACAAAAATCTTGTATAACCGAGTAGTACACAATTTTAGTTATTTTATTGAGTTGTGAAAAATCACAAATTTGTTTCTTCTTGAATGTGTTATACTCTCATCCATTCAGTCTTTCCGATATGCCCGTCGGATAGCGGAAGTTAACGTAAATGATCGATTACCTGAAAAGAAGCTACCATCCTAACTTTCCACCTTCGGGTCTTTTCCCTAGCCATAATTTTTTTCCCTCAAGGAATTTTTCTCTGTTTTACATAATAATTGGTCTTGCATTCAGCTTATCGATTTTGAGAGCCTAGTCCTATGCCGTATTCTGATGCGATCTACTTTATGTAGCTTTCCCCCCATCTAACAGCTCCTTACTGAACAAAAACGGCTTTAATTGAGTCTATTCAAAGAACTAGCCAATATTTTTCCAGCGGTAAGCACAATGTTCCTAATTCCCCCTAGTCCCCTTCTTAGACGCTTTCATGTGCATCAGGTGTTAAATTTTCTTTTCATAAGCTACAATGCTCATAATCGCGCATTCTGATGTCATTTATGCTTAAAAAATTAAAAATTAGTTTATCGAAGAAAGAGTGAATTAAAGGTGTCATGAGGCGTTTGTGATTTCATGAACTATTTGACGCGGTCCTTTTCTTACGGCTTATGTCCGTTGGTGAAATTGCTACTTGGGTTTTCTTGTATTGAAAAGGGCGGGCTCTTTCTAAACGTGGCGTTGTTTATGGAACCTTAGTATTCAGAACAGAATCAGTCGATGGCAAACAACGAAAAGGCTTTTATGTGGTAAGTTACAGTGATGAACCTTGCCTCGAGATGGTCATATTTTTGTACATACCTTCATGCAATTCAGTGTTGGTCTGAAAATTTTTTGTTATGGATGGGGGAAGGGTGGGGGGGGGCGGGGAGAGATCAGAACATGTAACTCGTGTTGTTTACGAGACATTAAGGTAATGAAAACTGTTAAACAGTCTTCTACAAATCAAAATAGTTGCAAATGCTTACGGGAGGCCCTAACTATATGATGATTAGAAGGGCTATATTTGGAAAGGTGCATGGTCGTGGAGTTAAGGAGATTTGACTAATCAACCAATTTCCCGCTAAACATAAGGGCGTGGCCAGTGGCCCCAAAATTGTGTTCGCTCGCCCCGGGCTGGCTCGACTTTTGGGATACGGTTATGGGGTTATAAACAATGAGTTCATCATCTATATAGCCTACTCGCCCAAAGTGACTGCATTTCGCTTTTCAGAGACCCATCAGTTACTGTATGACCCTCTCCGATCAGATTTTATGTCCGTGGTACTGGTGGTGAGGTCAGTCTACAAGCAGAGTCGTGAAAAACACCGCCACTTGAGCCTTTACGTTCAAAACATTCCTGGCTATCGGGAAAAAAAGAAGGAGCTTTTAAAAATACTAAATAAAATGTCATTTCAAATTTCACTTTGTCACCGTTCGAAAATTATTGTGAATCAGACCGAATGAAAGTTCACTCAAAGAGGGGGAGGGGGGAGGGGGGTTGGTAGTTCTTAACAGTTCCAGTTAGCTAGAAAATTAAAAGTTACGAAAAAATAGTGGGCGAACTGCAGAATACATGCAAGAATGAGAAAGAAAATAGAAAACAACTTCCTGTTCAAATTCGGGTGAAACGTTTAATAGCGTCAAGAAGACTGAACTTGATTGAGGTTGTTCATTTCAGTTCCGTTCCAGCGTGCAGTTCCTTGTCCTCCTAAAAATAGCTTCGTCTCCCACCGATCATTCCATGTCATATTTTGCGGACTTATTATTCAGTAATGACGGTACGATCAGGTAATTTGACTTGATGAGTTCTTTAATTTCATTTCATGTACTAGTTTTATATCTTACGCTGGAAAGATCTGCCAAACAGTGTACATTAGCAAAGGTAGGTTCCTGTTTACACGTGTAATTATCGAATACCATACAATTTGCATAAAGCTACAGTGCACGGTTGGTTTTTCTAGCCTTTTGATTAAAATTGACAACGTTTGCGTTATCTTTGCCTAAGAAAATATGTAATTTGTAGCTGTATACAGCGAAATACTACAGAGAAAATTGTAACTGTGCAGTACACGAGCGGCTCCCGATTGGTCTGGGAAATCGAAGAGCGAACTTGAGCTAGTACCGTGTGTAACAAAATTTATAATTTTCATTTTAGCGCATATTTCAAGCTCTTCGCAAGATCAGAATCAAAAGATCATCTGTTTACATTACAAGGGAGGGTTTTTTAAGCGATAGATAGGGTTTAAGAGGCACGATCAATTTTTAAAGAATTTTCTTTTCAAATATTCACCGAATTTTGTTTTGAAGTTTTAGCGGCCAAGTGGCTGAACCACTGCGCATTCATGCAATCATATTTCTGTTCCGTTGCATTTGCCCAATTATTTTATTCAACAATCTAACTTAGCTATAAACAAACTATGTTTAGTTAAAATGGCTTAGTCTAAATCGATGTGGCATGGGTGATATTGGCCTTCCAATTTCTACCAAATTTGTGTACCTTTTAAGTACCGAAAAAGTGCTGTGAGAAGTTATAGCCGTTCGTAGCTCAGGCTTAACCATTTTCAGATAAGAGTAGGTAAATGAAAGGAGGAAGGATAGTTCTTTGCAACTGTATGAGTCACGATTAAGTTATTTTAATGATAAGGCTAGAATTAATTACTGTAAATCTCCTTCAGTTCACCAACATGGCGGCCGCTCGAGGCCTCGTCAAAACTGTCATTCCTGTATCTTTGAAACCAACGAGAATTCGAACCTTAGAATATGCATTCAGTATTTAGGACACCATTCTAAGACTACATGCCAAAAATCAGCCAAATCGATGAGGTACCGTGTCAGGCCGTAGTTCGAATTTTACAGAAAATCACTCTTAATAGGTACGAAGGGGTGGAAGTGTCTGACCAAGTGAGGATAATGTCGCCAATTTCTCCCCAGTCACGAACCGTTTGTCATCTATTACTTAGACCCTGTTTACATGGAGTGGGGGACCCCGGTCTAGTTTCTTTTGTTTTGTGTCCCCCAGAGCGTGGAAACAAAAGAAACCAACCCCACTAGACCGGGGTCCCCCACTCCTTGTAAACAGGCCCTTAGTTAGAGGGGTCCTCTTTACTAACTATGGTGGAAGTGTAAAGGAATCAGACAAAGTGAAGAAAATGTCACAGTTAGTGCCAAAGCACGTCCAAATCACTGTCGACTTCTAATCAGCGCCTTGTGATCAAAACTACTTTTTGTTTGCAACTTGGAAAAAAACCGTCTTAAAGCTAGGGAATCTCGGAAAAGAAAGTTTCAACTGCTTTTTTCACTTACCAATCACTGTGCTGGAACAAGCTAAGAGGTGAAGAATGGCAACAAGAAGAACAGCGCCGCTCACCACAAAGACACTTGTCACAGAGACATCAAGGCTTTCATCTGTTTTGTTTGGAAAAGAAATTCGATGCAAACCACAGGCCACCCAGTAAAGCGTTTGAATAAGAACAGCTATACCACAAATCATTGCATGAAGGTCGTATTTTGAAAGCGAGGCGGTCATGTGACTGGTCATTTTCTCAAGAGCCAGGATGTACTGCTTAGCAACCTTTCCCGCCGTTGTCTTGAGATTTGTGGAACTGTGTCCAGATTCCGTGGATTTGAGCCAATCAGAGTGAAGCTTGTGGGCGTGGTGTAGTTCGTACATGTTCTCCACGGCGTGGCCATTTGCGGTAAGTGTTTTAGACAGCTGGTGTGTGTTAAGCTGTAGAGCCCTTAGCATTTCTCTTGGTGTATGAAAGCCGAAGAGGCTTGGTATAGCAACTCCTATGCTGAAAAGAAAACAAAGGAGGAATCAGATAAAATTTATCAAAACCACGAAAAACATAAGAGCTTCTAATGCAGAAAGCATTGAGTAACCTCTCTTTGGTCAGTTTTGTCCTAGGTGTTGAGTCCATCTGTTAACTTCTTACAAGTGATAAGGCAAATAAATAGGATTGATCATGCTCCTTGTCAGTTGAAGTGTTGAGATATCCTTACACTCTGGCTAAAAAAATAGAGTTAAATATACTTTCAACACTTCCAGGTCCCATGACCTATTAGAAGCACTAAATAGTTAGATTATGAAGGCCGTTTCGTGTTTTACCTGTTTTGAGGTATTGGAAGCCCCAAAAGTAGACTCAAAGTCGGCACCAGATCAATTTGTTGAACTTCTTTCCTGTTAAATACTTCACCTCCAAGACGTTCAAACAAAGGGCTCATAAACACAAGGGGCGTGCTTGTCTCTGAGGATGATGCACCACCATGGCTCCCTGCATCACTCATTCCATGATCACCACAGAGTACCATCAGAGAAGGTGCCTCTCTTTTTTGATCCCAACTGAGCATTGCGTTATAAATGTTGTTTATAATATGGTCCATTTCCAGGAGTTTGGGTCCTACAAGGGGACTTGATGGCCCCCGTTACACAGGATATACCAGTTCCGGGTTCATCACTTCATAGTATTACAGGGTTAGTAGTGAAAATTCGAGTGACAGCTACACGGACCACTGTAACAGTAGTTGGACAATTGTTATCAATAATTATATTTTGTAAAATTGCAATGAATGGATTAGGACAAGTCATCCATCATAAATTAATTTGCAATTCACTGTTTTCCTTCAATTCTTGGTTTGCAACCACATGACAAGGCGGCCATGTTGGGGGTCAATACAATAGAAATTTTGCGAGAAAAGTTTACATAAAATAGAGTTTAGTTCCCAGAGGAGATAAATACTTTTGTTCTGGACCACCAAGATGGTCGCCGTGACGTCACGTGCAAACAAGAAATTAATAATTATTTTGTGTACTAAGTCCTGATTATTTTCCAAAAAATACTCCATGTAACTTTGAGATTATTTTGCTTGAACAAGCCAAATTTGAAGGGAATATTGTAAAGGTAGTACTTTGGGGTGCCTCAATTTAAGCAGGGATTGTTTTGGTATTCAAAACAATCTGTAGATTGTTGTAGTACCACACACATAGTCATGTAGTTCTGCTTGTTTGCAGTTGTTTGAATATTTAATGCCTTCCAGTTATATGACCGTGGGAGTATGGGCTTGAGATTTTGGGGGGATTAATGCTTGGTCCAGGGAATTCTTCAGGTTTCATTGGATACTGTAGTGATTTTCTTGGAGTTTTAGTTTTTGCCCTCTGTCAATCATCCCTGTCACATTAACTCTGGAATACCCCCTTGGGACTGCTACTGCTATTGCCACACCTCAGTGTAATCAGTGACAAAAAATGATGTTGTGCCATCTGTCCTTTCAAAGTGCTCAGGAAACAGCCTCATCCACGTGTCATCACCGTAAAAAACAATCTTCTTGTTTGCAAACTTCATCTGACTTATCAAATTGTCCTCTTGGAGAAATTCCGAGTCTATGTTGAAAACCACATCAATAAAACCTGGTATCCCACCTGTGGTCAGTGCCTACAGGAGAAGAAGAGAATTTCAGATTTTATGGGTGTATAAATTAAAATAATATTAATTTCCCAATGCCAATACCATCAAAATCCTTCACTCAGAAGTACACATTATTATTATCATAAGTAAAAGGCACTATGGACAAAAGCCATTTCACCCAAAGTTTATTATGTTGGCAGAATTCCTGGTTACTTGGGCCAGACCTGTCCCTTGCTTCTGTGACCAATCTTAATTGAGGAAAAAGGGACTTACAGCTTAAGTGACTGACCACAGCGGCACATAACAAACATTTCTATTCTGTTGGCTAAACTGACCTTAATTCTTGGCATGGTTACCGTTGGTGGATGTGCCTTTGCTAGAAAGCTGGAAAAAATAAAATTGAGATGTCATTATACTTCTACATGTGTTTATTAAATTCCCGAGCTGAAGGACACTTTCTCACTGTTTTTTTTTTTCAGTAGGCCCTTCCATGTGTTTTTTCAACTTTTGACAATATTGTCACCATATTGTCCTCAATATTGCTGCAAAGAGCACATTAAATTCAGTTAACTTAACATGTACCAAGTTTGAAACTGGTATGTCAGAAAAAGCAAAGATAGGGCTCTGCAAATTAGTGATGTTTTATAGACATTGGTATAGTGAGGGCAGGTGTAGGGGTCTATTTCTATAATGCACCAATCAGCAGCCATCCTGGCAGGGTGACCCTGGGGACATATGCAAGCAAGCCTCCGGATTTGGAGAGNTTGTTTGCAAACTTCATCTGACTTATCAAATTGTCCTCTTGGAGAAATTCCGAGTCTATGTTGAAAACCACATCAATAAAACCTGGTATCCCACCTGTGGTCAGTGCCTACAGGAGAAGAAGAGAATTTCAGATTTTATGGGTGTATAAATTAAAATAATATTAATTTCCCAATGCCAATACCATCAAAATCCTTCACTCAGAAGTACACATTATTATTATCATAAGTAAAAGGCACTATGGACAAAAGCCATTTCACCCAAAGTTTATTATGTTGGCAGAATTCCTGGTTACTTGGGCCAGACCTGTCCCTTGCTTCTGTGACCAATCTTAATTGAGGAAAAAGGGACTTACAGCTTAAGTGACTGACCACAGCGGCACATAACAAACATTTCTATTCTGTTGGCTAAACTGACCTTAATTCTTGGCATGGTTACCGTTGGTGGATGTGCCTTTGCTAGAAAGCTGGAAAAAATAAAATTGAGATGTCATTATACTTCTACATGTGTTTATTAAATTCCCGAGCTGAAGGACACTTTCTCACTGTTTTTTTTTTTCAGTAGGCCCTTCCATGTGTTTTTTCAACTTTTGACAATATTGTCACCATATTGTCCTCAATATTGCTGCAAAGAGCACATTAAATTCAGTTAACTTAACATGTACCAAGTTTGAAACTGGTATGTCAGAAAAAGCAAAGATAGGGCTCTGCAAATTAGTGATGTTTTATAGACATTGGTATAGTGAGGGCAGGTGTAGGGGTCTATTTCTATAATGCACCAATCAGCAGCCATCCTGGCAGGGTGACCCTGGGGACATATGCAAGCAAGCCTCCGGATTTGGAGAGTTTTCAGGGGCGGATCCAGGAATTTTTTAGGAGGGGGTGCACTCATCTCTTGCTCTACTTCAACACCAATAAACCAGATAGTTTTTTTTTTGCAGAATACCAGTTGTATTAGAAAACCGCAGGTCATCTAAGGGAGGGGGGGGGGGGAACACCCCCTGCACCCTCCCCCTAGATCCGCCCCTGGTTTTGTTCGCAATTTTTTCTCCAGGATGGGGGCTGGGCTATTTAAAAGGATCTCTGGGGAAAGACCCAAGGGATTTTTATCACTAACTGAACCACCAAAAATTTGAACTTGAACTAGTGCTTCTTTGCAGAGACCAGGAACCCCCCTTTCCCCCCCTACCCACCTCTGGAGGGGTATTGATTAGTGCATAAATTATGTACAGTGGTGATTTCCCACATAATTAAATTTGAGTAGCTATTGGGCACTTCAAATTTCTTCCTACGTGGATTCTCTTTAACCCTGACCCCCCCCCCCCACCCCCCTGGATACAAAGGTTGTCACTGTGGCCTTAAAAAAAATCAATATATTAATAATTTAGTGTCACGCAACAAAGAACATTAGTAGGATACCGTTACTTTACCTAAATGACTTGTTAGTTCTGATTATTTCTTGAGTAAAAGGCATCCTTGACTGATTGTTAAATACGAAGTCTGCTCTTAAGGCATCGATCAACACGATCACCAGTCTTTCGAATTTTGGAGACAAAGGATCTCCTGGCCTCTCAGCTGATGGCTCCGGGGGAAGGTCCGTGATGGCTGCCATTCCTTGGATTGCTGTCTTCAGAGGAAAGAAACCTCTCAGAAACAGCACAAGACCCAACATTTGACAAAAAAGAAGAAGAATTAAGAAAAGGCTATGACCGGAAGCCATCTTGTTCTCAAGCTAAAGTGCTGCTGTCCCTGAAACGTTGACGAATTTAACCAAAACGTTTCCCATTAGCAAGAATTATAACTGCGTATTGCTCTGAATTTCAAAACTTAACATTTCCTCCTGATCGCCTTGGGATAATGAACTTCTAAAGCAGAGTAAGGAATTTATTCATTGCTTTTGTCCGCCATTTTGGAAAGTTTTGCCTCCGCAATACTTGAGACCTGCGGTAGAAGCATAGACAGGTTGGGGCGCTATGTATGAAAGCGGAACATATACCGTGATAAACAACATGGCGGACAGAATGGAGGATTTAAAACTGACTGTAAACCAGGATTTTGCAAAAAAGCTTCAGAAACAGAAGGAGAAAGCTGAACTTGATAATTGTAAGTAGGAAAAAAACCTTCTTCGGCGTTCAACAAGTTCAAAATTCGAGGCTAGTGAGTAGTGAGCACTGCATGCTGGCTGCCAAAATTGAGATCCCTATCACGTGGTTCTGTTGTCTGTTATTTGCAGTGAAACAGAAGTTTGGAGACAAATATCTTGATGACGAATCTGAATCAAGCTCTTCCGAATCAGAGGATGACGATGCGAGAGTGAGTGAATATATTAATGTTGGAAACTGATTTTAATAAGCTGATAACAGCATTTTGCTGATACCTTATACTTGTACCTTCAAGCTTATTTATGTTGTGGTTCAATTTTATCCTAAACTGCAACTAGTCTCTTATTTTTCTTTTGAGTCACAGTAGATCAAGAGCATGCACAGGGGGAGAGCAGCATCGCCGTGAGGAACGAGGACGGAAGCCCGAGCAAAGACAAAATAAGAGACTGTGATGGGATATTTGATCTGGCAATTTGCCGCTTTTCATGCCTCCTTAATTGACAGTTGCTTCTTCTGAAAATTACGTGGTAAAGCGTACGTAAAAGGACATTTGTTTGTCGACTAGATAAGCGACGACAAAGGTTACGAACATTAGTTCAAAATACAAGAAAACCTGCACAGTCTTCTTTTTTCCACTCTCCGCCCTAATCTCTCCTCCTTTTTACCATTTCACTTTTGAGTTTGCCGCTTGTTGCTCTGAGGAAGAAAGACGACTGCTCACGTTCTAATTTTATCCTTTTATTTTTTTCCCTTTTTTTCAAACTCATTATCCTACGTTACCATATGCTAAAACAAAGGGAAATAAAATTTAAACTAAAGATAAAATTAAACCACAACATATAATTTTATATATGTTGTGGTTCAACTTTAACCTTGGTCAAAATTTTATTCTCCTTTGTTTAAATTTATTTCCATCCGTGTCGCCACTTTCAGATTGCCCATAGTACATGTTGTTTGCCCCTCCCACACTCCCTCCCTACTTCCAATTTAGGATAACCATTGGTTCCAACTTCTCCTGGGCATTTTATTCATCCCAAACAAACAAGGTTTATGTATGGGTGAGGCAAATGAAGTGGCAAATTATAATAGTTGAAACAGAGGAAAATGCAAATTGAAATCAAGGATAAAATTGAACTCCAACATACAGGCATGTGCATATATAATTATGATACAGTTGAAGCTGTTGATCTCTAATAGATGCTGTTGTTGATGGCTACCTTTAACCCTGTTTGAATTCTCCCTCTTACTACAGCCATTCATGAAGTAGTTACACCTGTAGCTCCAGTTGTTGGCACTGTCTTTATCTCCTTTTTAAGGGGCATCCCTTTAAGAAAAGCCTCAGCTTTATTTATGAACACTTTCTATTACTGATTTTTTCCAGGAGCTTACATCTCAGAAGGAAAAGGATTTTCTTACTGTGCTCTCTCTGATAAAAAATAGAGATCCCAAGATTTATGAGAAGGATTCCAATTTTTACCATGAAGAAGGTATGACAACAGATCATTCCATAGTGTATCTGCTCATGAACGGGCATGGTTAGATATTGATCCTTCATTTCCTATTGAAGTGAAGGTACATGTAGTGAAGCATTTTAATTTATAAATAGTAAAGTTATCCATGCAAAGTTGACAATTAATTTTGATACAACTGTACATAATGTAAATATTGAATTCATTATCCCTCCCAATATCATGCTCTTCAGTTTAGCACTCAAAACAGCCAGGCCTTGTTTAAAAAAAAATACAGTATTTTGTGTTCTGCAATGCTGCATCACACAGTTAAGCTTGGAAATTCAAGTATGCTCTTTCGCAAAACAAATAACCCTTTTGAACCAAAAATTTGTTTGAATATAGAGATTTAGCTGCTGTAATACCTCATGAAAGTAAACACTCAGAAGAATTGATAACCCTTAAGTTTGAATTCTCATGACATCATATGAACGAATAGAGGTAGGATGTGCAGGATGTTTGTTATCTTTGGGGTGTGGAAAACAGCCTTTTGATCCATTAAAAAAAGGTGTCCATATTTTTGACATTATTGTATGATGTTTGATCCTTTTGGTACCAAGGGAACTGTCTGTAATGTAGAGAGCTTTTCATATTATCATCATGCATAAATTATGGAGTTACACTGTATTTGTAAGGAGAGAACAAAATATTAAAGGGGCCGGAGGTAGAAGGGCACATCTGATGAACTTACCAAACTTGAAATTAATCAATTGCCAAATCTTTGCATACAGACTTACTCTGACCTAAAAATAACGTTCAGGCATAAGTTTTTTTCTGTACAAAATAGTTTTGTCCTTCATTCCTGAGAAATAACATAAAAAAATTCCCAAATTTGTTGTGCTTTTTTTCCACTGACTCCTACTTGTTACCTTCTTTTAGCAGAAGAAAAATCTTCATCAGAGGAGGACAGCAAGGACCAATCCAAGTCCACTAAGCCAATGTATTTGAAAGATTTTGAAAGGAAAGAGTTGCTAGAGAAAGGAAGGTTTGTGGAAGGAGTTATAGTACTACCTGTAATTTAGCTACATATAAGCACGATAATGCATGTTTTTAATTTGAGCTAATGTATTTCTGTTGTGCACTAGTTTAGGGAAAGCCAACATTATGCTAAATAACCTAGCCATTCTGCCTGATTTTAAATATCCTAGCATAAAGCCATATAAATCAGGGTACAGTGTACTATAGGTCACTCAGCTTGAGCAACAGCAGAGGGTATTTCGCAGACTACTGAACAGCCACCAAACTCCAAATCAAGTTCCAGATGAGTTTTTTAAGTAAAATGTCCTTAAATAGTTGATTTACTAAGTTTACTTCACAATAATTTTCAGCATTCAGTGGCCATTCGGCATAATGCAAAATACCCCCATTATCTTGCTGTTACTCAAAGACTGTTGCAGAAAGGGTATGTTACAGAATCAACCAATATCCCAGTGATTCTGCTACAAATAGTTATGGTGAGTCTCGAGACTCATCTTGTGAAAAATCATGAGTAAAAAAAATACTTTGGCCTTTATGTATCCACCCAGTTAATCTGAAGACGGACTCCAAAACTCTGCATTACAGTATGCTGAAATTAAGTTAGAGTCCTTCTATTTTAAAGCACAACAAATGCTAAAAGAAATATGCCTAGTTTAACAACAGCCATGATAACTGCCTTAGAAATCACACAAACAGGATATTCTACAAAAACACATCTTCAGATCGATCAATCTATCTTTGTGTCCTACAGGACACATGCCATGATTTGTTATGGGTCAGGGACGCAAGATGCAGAGTTAAAAAAAAATCACTGATATCCAGCCATCTTGAGCTGATGCTTGGTCAATAATGCATAATCATCTTATATAAGCAGCACAATTAAAGGTGCTCTAAATCATCAAACTGATTGATGCTTTGACTTCCAATTAAACAGAACTTTTTAACTCATTTTTTATTTTCACTGGCAGCAAAGCATTCTTAAGTGACGAAGAAAGTGATGAAGATGAAACATCTGAGGTAAACATACATAAAGAACTTCGCAACTGTTAAAGACATAGTTTATTAATTTTTGCAGTGGTAACCGTACCTTACATGTACAAACAGTAACATTTGCTCAACTTATAATTTGCGCATTTTTTGTGTCACAGGGCAGGGCATCTCCTACCTTTGTAGAAGAACAAAAGCTCCTCAAGGAAAGGTTGTAATGTTATTCCTCAGATGTTGCCCTTGTTATGTACATGTATTGTGGCTTTAATGGAAGAAGAGGAATGGTTTCAAACAGTTTCTAATAATCATTTGATTCCAATTTTCTTCCAGTTTTAAAAAAGCCATTCAAACCAATGATGATGATGATGATGATGATGATAATGCTTTCCTGAAGGTCAGGGAAAAAACTTCAGAGGAAAAGGTAAAAATTCTCTTTGCATAGCATGTGAAATCTTTTGCTTTGTTCTCGCCAAAGTGGCTGAGCCTCTGCACTGTCTTTTTAGAGATGTCAACCTCTGGAGGTCCAAAAATAATCTGGAGACTCTGTTCTGCATTAGCCCCTCCAATATCAGTGACCACCTCCCCTTCCCCCTCCCCTCCCCGATGACAAGTACAAATCAGCCCATTCTGCAAATTGTAACATGGGAATTGCTTACATTGTAGGTCATTATTGATGTCTTACATGTACATGAAATACAGAGCATCAAAATTTGCTAGTGTAATATTACTGTAATTATTATGAAATAATCTTTGTTAGTGATGAAATAAATTAAAAAATACCCCCAAACCTGTAAAAAAGATTTCGAATTTTTCGGGAAAATGGGTAAATTCCAAACACAAGCACAGAAAAGTTCAAAAGTGGATTTTGTCTGGAGCTGATTTGGTTGCCCTTGCAGGTGAGGGAGGACAGGTGCTCTATAATCAGGGAGAGTTGGCATGTGGATTCAAAGTTTTACCTTTCTTGATGTTAGATATAATAATATTGTTGAATAAATATAGTCAGTTGCCTCTTCCAAATTTTGAACAGCACTAGCTGGTTATGAAATATTTGTCAGTAATATTCTAGTAATATTCTAGCCACTCAGAAATGGAAAAGTATGGTATTATTGTTTTGAATGAATAAAAATGCCTTTTATAGATGCAGGAGGAGAGAGCTTACGTGGAATGGTTGAGGGGGCAAGAAGAGAAAAAAGACACAAAACCAGCTGTTCAACTGGTGAGTAAATAAACACCTGTTAGTTATACCTCATTGTGATCTGGCTTTTTTGTGGGGAGGGACGGGAGGTTGGGGTTGGGAGTGAAACATTGGCTGACAAAAAAACAGGTTGGAGGGTGGGCTGGGGGCAGGGACAGACAGATGGACCTATTTTTCACTGTTCTTTCTCTGCCTTTTCTACACTTCACAACCAAAAAATGTGAGATTACAATTGGTTTAAAGGAGCTATAATGTACCTACCTACAACAGGCATCTAAATAAAAGCTACAGCTATTAAAAAAATATGTATCGCAATGAAGATGTTGTGATCATTTACATTTTTCCTCTTTTTTCTGACTCTTCTTCTCCTTTTTGTTATTGTTATTTTAGGAAGCATTAAGGAGATACTGGACAGATCCCAGTTTAGATGAAGGAGAGCAATTTTTGAGGGATTATATTCTTGACAGAAATTACATTGACAAGGATTCAGAAAGGTATACAGTACCTATATATTATTTTTCTTTTTGTTCATACTAGTGATCCAACGTGGCTCTTGATCTTCTAGATAAGGGAGAGAAACTCAGTTGCGTTTTGCTTGGATTAAAATTGCAGGTGCAGGTACAAATGGTAGCAGTTGGGGTTTTCAACTTAAGGCGTTAGGCTTAGGTTTATGTCATGGGACCTTAAGTCACATGCACACCTGTGATAAAAACCTTTGAATTGCTTTTGCCACAAGTTTGCTCATCTTTAATAAAACCTGAAGCTTGCAGGTAGATAGTGGACACTCTTACCCACGATCATATGATAGTATACGACCTACATGTACTGTACATGTACGTGTAATCTTAGGGCGCTTTCCAAAAGTGAGAGCTGGCACACCAGACTACGGCTGGAGCAGTCATTTTAACAATGAAATAGACTTTTCCAAAAGGTTTTTGCTAAAAAACCATCTGCTTCGTGCATAGCAATTAGGATTTGACTGATCTGGCTGGATAGTTTTGATTAAAAGTGAAATTCTCATTACTGTGGGAATGGTCTGGCAGGGCAGAAAGCGCCCTTAATGAAGGTGCCTCATGTGTGGCTAAACACTGGTAAAGTATTACATTTTCATGGTCTCTTTTAAGTTGTAAAGTGAAGTACAGATGTAAAGATCATTCATCGTGATTAATGCTTCTTTTCGATTTTGTTTGGTCCTTAGAATTCCAACTTATGAAGAGATTGTTGCTGATGATGAAGAGGTACTTTTTTATGAATAAAGGAGTCACCTAGGCCCAAAAGTCCCACCCCCCGAAAAAACGCTCAATCTTCTTTGACCTTGGTCGTCGTTTCATTCTCAACTGTGGATAACACTGAAACTCTCTACCCTAAAAAACCTTCAACCTTAAAAAATGATGTTATTTATAACTAAAACCAATCTACTCTACGACATGACGTAACTATGTGACATCATTTGGACTGGACTAATTTAGGCAATGGTTCAAGAAGTTTACATTGATCTGTCCAGTTCTTGTTTCGATTGATTTTTTGCTAACGAGTGCTTGCCCTTAATTTTTGGATAAACATAGTTTGCAAAGATCGCTTCAATATTTAAAGTTACTGAAGTTTGTCTTCAGGATCTAGGATAGAATTCATCGTGCGTCATTCATTTTATTTTTGATTCTCTATAATGATTTCTAATGCCAAACAAGGCTAATGTGTTTTTGTTCTATTATTTTCAATATAGGATGAATCAGAAGTCGAGAAACAGGAAGAATTTGAACGAAAGTATAATTTCAGATTTGAGGAACCAGATGCAGAGTTTGTAAGTAAACGTGTTCATGTAATTTCCGCCGCTGCACTCTAGTGTGGTCGAGGTAACTTTTTTCTTGTATTGTCACCGTAGATTAAAACATATCCTCGAACCATTCAAGGATCAGTTCGGAAAACAGATGACCGTCGGAAGGAGAAACGGAAGCAAAGAGAATTGAACAAACAAAAGGTCAGTGAGAGTGACTTCACGATGAAGTCGCCAAATGATAGTCTCCTGGGCCCAGTTGTTCGAAGGCCGGTTAGCGCTGGTTTCTTTTTCTTGTGTTCAAAAGCATTTTCTCGGATAATTTTCTCTCTTATTTTTAGAGCTTCCAATCATCAACTTGTGGACAAAAAGAATTAAAACTGAAATGCTTTTTAAGCTTTCAAATCTTAATTCAAATCTCGCACTAACCGTGGGTTATCTTAACCCAGCTTTGAACAACTCGGCCCTGTACCCTAGCTTAGGCTCATGGCCTCAAGTTTTGAGGCAGACCAGTGAGTGAAAATCCATCAACACCGCTGGTTAGTGCTCCTTACAATCAGTAATGTTGCCAAGTTTAAAGGTGACACTTCTAAAGCGAGCGAAGATATTAGGCTAATTTAGCAGCAGAACGGGAACGTCATTTGACGACGGCAAAGCGCCCGAAAAGGACTAAACTCTACTTCCGGTGCCTAGTTTGCCGCTCAGCCATTGGTCAAGCCAGTCGTTTGATTTGCCCGCGCCTTCGTCAACTGACGTCCCCGTTCTGTTGCTAAATCAGCCTATCGCTCCACAAAGTCGCGACATTGTGTAGAAGTTTTTTATGGTGGGGTGGCCAGATATGAGCTTGCCACCATCGTAATTTGCAAAGCTGTATCTTCGTTGATTTTCAACAAAACTTAGCATCTCTACTGGTTTTAAGGTGTTCTTTGTAACGATGTTGACGGATTTTCGCTAACTCTATGCTTATTTACTATAGTTATGTAGCTGGATTTTTTTTCTCACTACAACTATAGCTTCCGTTTTTATTGGTTAAATTTGACG